CATGCAAATATTACATATTGCTATTTTAATCACCCACCACTTGGCTCTACTGAAAGTGGAAAATACTATAGTTTAAAAATCCACATCATTGTTCTCCATTGTTTCCTTATTGTGACGCCCCTGTTTGTCATTTAGGCCAAAATAATGGAGCACGCTCCAGACGACTGTCACCGTGCTTCACCTAATAGGCTCCTGTGCCATTCATGCAGCCTACCTGGGCTTGATCTGTGACAGGATTACGCCCAGGGCAGATGACAAACGGGCAGCTTGACGGGACACTTTATTGTTTGCATCCCAAATAAAACTTTTGTTAAGTCTAGTGCAAAAGTTACATATGTTGCCTTGGTTTTAATAGACTGTTGGCTTCATTATTGATGAGGAAAAAAGGGGAGGAGACATCAGCATGGAAAGCCTGTCTACTTTTGTTATCAGGGGGCTTCAGCCGCTGCCTTCTGCCTACACATATTGTCCTCCTGGTCTTTTGAACAACTGCATTACTGTAGTTTTTAGCTTCGATGTGTGTATTGACAAGGAAAACAATGCTTGGGAAAACAGGTAAGCCGCTATCATAAAGTAGTTCAAAAAGATCTGGTGAACTCTTTTTAAGTGGATTTTTTAAATAATGATCTCTTAGTGTGCAAGTGACTAATTATGTGATTATCAGTGATACAGTTGATTTGAGGATGTGGAGTAAAATGCATTTCTTTAGACTGTTTCTGAACTGCTATTGTTTTACTTCACATGTTTGAGTCATTTGTGCTTTGAAGGAGATGTGGAATGGGTAAAGGATGAACCGGAGCGCTGGGAGATTAGGCTGCTGATTGGATATGGTTCTTGATTCAGCTCGCTGCCAGTGTCAATAGCAAAGAAGAGATACAATTGTATGAGGCTGAAAGAAGGGCTGGACAGAGTTCTTGTGGTTTTGGTGTAATGGTGTTAAGACCCTAAGTGACTGTCAGACGCTGCTCAGTCTGTCCAAATAGTGTCCCAGGTGAGAAATCCTAATTAGACAATGGAAGGCAGTCGGTGTGCCGTCTTTTCATGACATGTTCAAGCTTAGCTGCATAGAATCCTGTAATTTTTCAAACCATGTCAATGTTTTATGTCACAAAAACACCTAGCGAATGTGTGTTTTAAATATTTGAGCTTGTGGGAACATGCTTATGTCCATAGATTCTATTCTATCTTGGAAAAAAAACAATGTCTAAAGGCAGGTATAATCATTTTTCCATTCAATATTTCTATAGTCAAATATTTTACCTGAATGATAACATGGAAATACATATATGAGCTTTTTTTTTTTCTTCAGAAATATGATGTAAATCAGGCAGAAGGTGGAGCCCTGACACTTTAATAAGTGTCAGGGCTCCACCTTAATAAGAGACAGATGACTATAACAGAAATAATAGATAATAAATGCAAGAAGAAACAGATGGAGAGAAATGTAGAGAAAAATTCATGGGAAGTCAGGTCTTTGTATAAAAGGTGTCCTGGATTCCTTTGGCGCCAAAAGGAACTTGGGAACGTTCTCCTCATAGATAAGTAAATGTTGTTCCCTAAGGCAGATGATAATTGTCAAAGAAATTATATTTCCAAGCAAACAAGCCGATGCCAAAGTACTAATCAGCATTGGAGAAATATAGTACTTTTTTTGTGTCAGCATAATGAACAAAACCAAAAGTTGCACACTTTCCAAGTGTCTGTTGATAAGCCTCATCCCAGTTATGAAAAGTGAAAATTGTAAGAAACTAAATGTATCTGTGACTCAGTATCAACTCACATGCAGGAGGAACTAGTTTGTGGCGGGACAAACCAGCGGATGGATATAGTGTTTTGGTGCTGCCAGGAGAATGGGGTTGGGGGCGCTGGTGTGGCCTTCCATGTGGTACTGGCATTCTCTAAAAGCAGCCCCCAGCCCCAGAGTAATGGTTAATCATCGTGGGAAGTGTGGAGGCAGGGTAAGTGTGCTCCTGCCTGGTCCTGGCCCCGGGTTTTGCCTTGCTGTGGTGTGACAGGGCAGTCAGGCGGATGCGGCGTGTGTTGTTGTAGCGATGTTGGTGGAGAAAGCCCTGTACAAGCAGCTCTGGCTGAGAGAAGAGCCGCGGCAACGCTCCCAGATTGGACAGCAGGCAAAAATGCTGTCCTTTTTGTTTTCACTGCTTTGTGTGTCCATGGCTGAGGGTTTGAAGTCAGTGCCATACGTCTGTGCTGGTTCCTGCTACGAGCTTGATATTTACTCTCATGCTGCTCTCCCAGCGCAAGGCCTCCCTCAAACAATCCACTTTGCAGGACTGCAGTGTCAATGTTAAAAGTATTCAAGCATTTATTTTGTATTTCATTTATTTGCTTTTTTGAATCAGTAAACCAGCCCAATGAGTTGAGTTGTGTGTAGACATGGTCCAGACAGATGAGGGCCATTGGAAATGTTAGATCAGTATTACATTTGACCAGATAGCTTAACCCAGTTATACCTTCGTGGGAAAAGAGACATGGGAAAGCTGCTACTATATTAAATTTTTTAAAACAAACGTAAATACATTTACTCACGTGCCTGAATGAAACTATTTATTACTGACCCGCACTACACTGCAAATTGCTCAATGGAAAGTTGTCTTCTCTTTCGAAAAACTATTTTACACCAAAGGAGGAGCTTTTACTCTGTTTGCTGTTCAAGGAAATTTTTCAATTTATATTTACATAAAAAATATGCAAATGCACAGGCAAAGTTTCCATTTGGACAGTGTGTTAAAAGAGACAAGTACTGTAAAAATGACAATATTTGCAACACTATCTTTAGAGTTTTTATGTGCTAACAAGAGATACAGATAAGTTTATTTTCAGTACACTTTGATTGAATTGAGCGTTGCATTGAATTGGGCGGCACAATTAGAGATGGGTCCCCGGGCGCTGTACTACGGCGACCCCTGCTCCTGACAGAAGCCTTAGTGGCTGAATTAGAGAATGAATTGCCCTACGGGCATAAATAAAGTGCACCTTTAATTTCCAGGAAAAGTTCTCGTAAAATGAATGTGGTAGACTACTCTACTTCATTCTATCTATTAGTCTAATAGTAGAACTAATTATTCTACTATTGATCTAACCGTTATATTTTTGTACTGGCCAAAATCACAATTTACCAATAGCAGACTATGAAATCAAACAATTAAAACAATATTTGGTCAAAATAGGCAGATTAACCACTATTCACAGGAATTAAGCAAATGTGTAAACATCCCAGAGCATCCCCTGACCTAAGACCCTCCTTCAGCTGGAGATCTGCCTGTGTGAGCGGGGAGATCAGATTTGCCATCTCATTGTTTATGTACAGTAAGAAGGTTTTATGCATGGATTTGGGTAGAAAGTGGTTTATCCATGTTCAGAGCGGCCCTGCTTATGGAACTTGGATTGCCTCTGTGGCTCTGGACTGTCTCACTGGATGTAACCATAGCAGGATAATTGGCTCCAGTCAGCCGCTCTGTCACTCAGGCGAGCGACAGAACCAGAGATCCACCATCTGACACACGCCCTATTAAACTAAGTCATTTGCAACCCCCCATTTATAGCGTTGTGTTTTTAGCTCATAATCTAGAAATATTAAGTAAATGCCCAGGCCAATGCTCACTCAGCAACACTTGGATTATGAGCATAATTTACTGCTTCAGTGAGTTGAACATCCCCTCTCCCATATCCAGCCACTTGTGTCATCTTAAGAGGGTGGCTGTCACTAAATCACTTTTGACAGTGAGTGAAGTGAAGTGAGTGCCTGTGCAGACATGTAACCTAAGTTGAGCCAATAGACAACCTTTATTTATTCATGTAGTTATCATTGAGACAATGTATAATAATGTATATCTGTGCAAATGCTCAGTTATTTTCAACAATTGGTTTGTTTGGAATGAACTGAATTGACTAAAGTGGGCGACAGAAGGTAGTTGGCAGTGCGTGTGTCCAATGAGCCAAAGGTCGCGTGTTGAATCCTGCTCCAGAGATAAGCATCGTTGGTCCAGCTGTGTGATCCACTGACTGAAAGGCATCTCTCTCACACTGTGCTGGTTGGAATGTGTGTGTGAAAGGCTGACTGGTTTCTTTACATTATGAGTTTGTGTAAGCCCTCAGTCGTACAGGGATTAGTCAAAGCAAAGGAAGGTTTCTCACCCATCATCTGTACTTCTTAGCAAGTTTTCCTGACATTTTGTCCTCAATCCTAAGGACTTCTTCTGGGAATGAATTCTCAGAACGCGCGTTGGAGATTTTTGATCCTGATACTAACTCATAAACAATCTAAGGACCTTAGATTGTTTATGAGTTAGTATCAGGATTAGGGTGTGGCTAACCACACCCATAGGTTATAAATCTCCAACGCGCGGTCTGAGAATTCATTCCCTGAAGAAGTCCTTAGGATTGAGGACGAAACGTCGGGAAAACTTGCTAAGAAGTACAGATGATGGGTGAGAAACCTTCCTTTGCTTTTACATTATGAGCTTTGAGGAACTTATAACAGGGGGGTCCAACTCATTTTGGTCAGGGACAGAATAAATAAAATAGCCGGGGGACAAAAGAATAATTGTTTTTTTTTTTTTACATTATCTGTTATTGATTATTTTGAACCACTGGACCAAATATAAAGCTAAACACATTGTCTTATATTTAACTATCTAACTTTATAATGATCTGTTGGATTAAAGTTAAAAAATAAAATTCCATTTGGTTTGTTTTCCTGAAAAATCGATTATATCTAAAATGCCTTGGTAGCCCATAACCATACAGCTATAAGCTATTATATTAAGACATTTTTGGCCACCAAAAATGTCTTGCAGGCTGGATTTGGCCCACGAGCCTGAGTTTGCTATAACTATAAGGTAGAAAAGTGATGCAATGCCATAAAGATGCAAGATTGTGAATATTGTGAGCTATTTGAAATCTTTCATTCATCAATGAGCCTTGTGTCAAGTGCATTTCAAAGCAAATATTTACACATGTGTTGTTTTTGTCTTCTACAGGCACAGAAATCATGGATCGAAAGAGCATTCAGCAAGAGAGAATGTGTTCACATCATTGTAAGCGCCAAAGACCCCCATAGGTGAATAACATTATCTTTCATATTGAAGTAAATATTAATTACTGAGTTCTTGACCTTTCTAATCAGGTCTAATATACATAACACAATTCATTTTATCCCAGATATTAACATTCACAACTGTCTTGTTGATAATGTGGTAATCCATAATGGGTTGACATTCAAGCAAATGTAAAAAAGTTACCTTAAAAATCAAACATTTAAATGTAGTTTATCTGTTTGAAAAAGCAATTGTTAGTTCTGTATGCCACCTGATAGTGTAAGACCTCATATGGATGATGAAATTACAACACTTTGTTGCCTCCAGTCTCTTGCTGCTCTACAGTGCGGCTGGTGCTGTGATGTTATTAAACTCTATACATGGGCTAATGCCTTTCCACAGGGTGACACATTCAGAAAGTCAAGTCCAATTCAGGTCACTGCTGGTTTGAGTAAGCATCATTAGCATAATTGCCAGAATAGAATGTAAATGAAGACTAGGTGAGTTTATTTTTAGTCATTATGATTTAGTTAATGTAGAAATGCAACATTTAATGTAATACTGAATGATTATATACAGGTGAAGCATCCTCAAGGCATTCTCAATGCTCTCATTATTCATTCTGCAACTCCACATGAGAAAAAGAACGAATACAATTCTCATGCTGTTAAATTCTACATCCTGTTTATTTTTCACAGGTGAAACGAAAGTTATATGACCAAGTGTCCCTTAACATATTCAGGATACAGTTCAAACCACGGCACGGGGCTGCATGCTGCTTTCATGATACAACAAATCCCTTGACAATGCAATATCCACACAGGAGCAAGCCCTTCTCTTTTAAGTACTTACTGTAGTTGGGAAGTAAAAGTGCATGGCACCACAATGCACACATGTCACAGTACGCCTTGTTGCACTTTTGTAAAAACATTGTCCACCCTCCACTGTGCTATAACTCGTAACAAAATTGGGTTGAATATTGCACAGTGTATACCCGACTTTGCTTGTCTTCCAGGTGTTGTTGTGGTCGTCTGATTGGTCAGCATGTGGGCCTACCCCCAGGCATCTCCTCAAGTCAAAATGACAAGGCAGAGCGGTTGGCCAAAAATGACAGCTTATCAGAGAAGTGGTCTATCAGCAAGCACACCCAGCTCAGCCCCACCGATGCCTTTGGCACCATCGAGTTCCAGGGAGGAGGACACTCCAATAAAGCCATGGTGACTATTAATAGGATTATTTTAAGGTACTAGTTATTGTAATTAAGTGACAACATTTGATGTATCGTTCATGATGTTGATGATGATTTTGCATTGTTGGGAAAACCTCTAATTGTTTCATTTCAGATTAGTTTGATAAATCGATGAATAATATTGATACGTTGAGTAAAAGAGCTCAGACTGTTGCAGAGCTGGGATTATTAGGATGAATACTGAGTGATGAATTATTCACTCAGACACATGTCATGTTGGGTGACTGTGTGAACTAGACAGACAAACAGATGCTCATAACGCATGGCTCTGCAATCATAGCAAACATCTGCTGATTACATTTAGAAAAGTCTTGCCTTCTACATGATTGAGGTTGTGATATTGGCTCTTGAGCGTTTCACATATACATTTACTATAATAATGTCTTGTCCTCAAGTATGTCCGGGTGTCATATGACACAAAGCCTGACCTGCTACTTCATCTGATGACCAAGGAGTGGCAGCTGGATCTGCCAAAGTTGCTTATCTCAGTGCATGGAGGCCTGCAGAACTTTGAACTTCAGCCCAAACTCAAGCAGGTCTTTGGCAAAGGGCTCATCAAGGCTGCCATGACAACTGGAGCCTGGATCTTCACTGGAGGGGTCAATACAGGTATTTTAGTGTTGCAGTATGGGACACTGTATGTCACATTTCTGTACTTTTCTCTGGTTGTGGCCGATCATGTGTTTCTCAGCTTAAATCTTTTATTGATTGGATTTATAGATATAATCAATTAACCCAAAACATCAATTATGGATTGAACAATATTTCCAATAGTGAATATTGCTGTGGTCATCATAAAATGATAATGGGTGAAATTTGATTTGATTGAAAAACAACACACATTTAGCAGCCTAATGATTTTCCAAGCCCAGTGTATAGTCTTCAAAGATTTTATAACAAGAACAACAATGATTAATAGAGTGGATAAGCTCTCCCACAACAACTTAGCTCTCTCTAGTGTTCATATAGTAAGCTGTAGAAAGTAAGTTTTTGTGACATAATGAGTCCAGAGTCCAAAAGCTTGTTAGTGCTAAATAATTAATGGGTAGATGAATAGGGGGGAAAGTTAAGGTAGGAAAAGAGCAGAGTTAAATGCCAGCAGGAAAGATGGGACACATTTCTCATTATATACCAACAACAACTGGCCATTGTCGATAAGCCCTATTACTTACTCCGCGTTGTGTGTATTTTTATTACAATATCTATGTCCTGTCTTTTTTATTCACACATAGGGGTTATCCGCCATGTGGGAGATGCTCTCAAAGACCACGCCTCCAAGTCAAGAGGAAAGATCTGCACCATTGGCATCGCACCTTGGGGTATTGTCGAAAATCAGGAGGATCTTGTTGGCAAAGATGTGAGTGCCAGAAGTACAAACAAGCAACATTTTATCCTATTGTACAAATACACGCATGTACTTTCGTTCATGTTTGCTGTTGTAGAGAGTAAATGACAGTTGACGCCTTATTAACTGAGATGCTGAGTTGGCCAATTCAATCAGGGATAAACAGTCCTTCAAAGTGAGTCCGACCATGAAGAAGCAGCACCACATGCTGACCCATTCAAATCAAGGGGAGCTTACAGTTAAAATTGCATCATATTACGTTCCAGTGAACTAGTGGAGCAGAGACGATTAATGCTTGCGAGCTGGAACAAGACGATGGAGTGCCCAAACTCGTTTCAATGCTTGATTGGTTTCTACATTGAGCCTAATGATCAGATGCCAGACTCAGCCCCAGTAGCAACACTAAATCGTTATTGCCAACTTGTAATTAGTGATGTATAATTATTGTACACATAAACAGTTTATAAATTTGTTGTATGTGTTGATATATTGATACGTCTAATATAGCAAAGAAATGCCACTCCTTCCTGCTGCTGTAACAATATAGACTAAAACCAAAGTATGCATTTGAGAAGACTAATTCTACAATTCAATATTCCGTACTGACTAAAAGGAGAAAAGCATTAAAACACACTTTTTTACACTTTATCACATGTGATAAAGTGTGACCAAAAATGGATAAATAATACATTATAAAATATGATAAAATAAAAATAAGAAATGTTTTCCATGGCAACAAACCATAAATTCTTGATTAATTGGCAATATTATTTTTTAAATTATATTGAAATCTGTAATTGTTATTTTTTTAGTTTGTTAGTTCACACCATAATACCAAAAGTTATCGGTGGATTTTTGTGAAACTTTCCGGAACTTTCTGAAAGGAGACCCTGACCCTAATTCTAAGGAACAATTGACTACATTTTAGACATGATCAGGCTCATTGTCTGAGTTCGGAATCAACCTGTGCCTTTAGGCCATGTCAAAGTCAAGGCCCGGGAGCCAGGTCTGGCCCGCGAATTAATTTTCTTGGCCCCTAGAATGATATTTGATCAGAATTAGAACTGGCCCGCACAGAGCCTTTAGAACATATTCAGAATGTGTATTTTCTCGCTCTTTTGGCATGCTCTGCCAAAGCAATTTCCAAGTGGTGACTTTTGTTACTTACGTGGCAATAAAAATGATTCTGATTCTGATTTTGCTTTAAGGAAGTTTGTTTTTGTCTGTGAGCCTGTTGAAAAATGTTGAAATTACTGACATACAAAAATATTATCAATTTAATCATTAATTATAATATAGTACTGGCACTGTGTTGGGTCTTGGTTCAATAGTTAGTATGCAATCATTATAATATGTTATAATGTAATAAACATTGAACCAGTCTGGCCCTTGAGTCGTTGCAAATCCGTTTTTTGGCCTCTGATGTATTTGACTTTGATATCTCTGCTTTGGGCGGTGGTCTGCGCTCTACAAGTGATTTTCTAGTTCTTAAAATAATTCTTTTTCAAACCTCTTACTTCTACAGACATGAAACTGGCTGTGGACATCTCAATTAAAGAGCCAAGCTGATTATTAACGATTGGAATCTCAATCGTGATTAAAATTTGATTCATTGCATTGGTCCATTCATCAAAATTATCACCGAAAATAAATCATTGTTCCTCAGTTACTGCTTCCAATACACTGAGTGCTACTATAAAACTGTGCCAACAACTGAAATATCATATACATTTTCATTTCTTTGTACAGGTGGTGCGTCCATACCAGACAATGTCCAACCCAATGAGCAAACTGACTGTCCTCAACAGCCTTCATTCCCACTTCATCCTGGCAGACAACGGCACGACAGGGAAATATGGCGCTGAGGTGAAACTTCGACGCCAGCTGGAGAAACACATCTCTCTGCAGAAAATTAATACACGTGAGTATTTGTACCATGACAAAGCTGGACAGATGTCCCAGATATATCAGATGTATTATCTGATACTCATGATGATGAAACTTCAGCCCTTGTTTTCTCAACACTTCCGCAGGTTAATTGAGTTCTCTTTCTATTTTAAAACTGCAAACAGACTAAAATTATCACTATTTGGCTTTGTTCTGATCACGCGTGCTCAGGATATTTTAAGCACAGTAACACACCGCAAAAAGCCTTTGAAAATGTCCTATCCTTCAAGAAAGTCTATTTATTACCAAACTCTCTGAAGCTTAGAAGAGTGCTTGTCTTTATGTGACCCTGCTATATTGTGTTTCGGCTTTTTAAAGTGTACAGTAATACAATTTATTCAAACAGGTCAGTTTTTACTGTGTCATGTCATTATCTCAATTTATTTCTTTTGGGGAACTTATCTTCATTCATAAACTGAAGAAAACAGCTGTTGTTAAGCTCTGAAGTAAGCAAGTATTTGTTCTTTTTTATCCAGTGATGTGACCAATGGACTTCCCTTTGTCATCCTATGCCTGGATTCATAGATATGGGGCTGGGAAGGCAAAGGGGCGCCCAGTCGTCTCACAAGCATCTGAAAATGTTTAGAATGAATCATTCTGATGTCTACAGATTCTACATCCTAAAGAGTAGGCATTTATAAGCTTTGGCTTCTGCCAATTTCTTTTTCAGACCGTATTTTGTATCTTCTCACCAAGTGCTTGAAATTGTCAAAATTGTGTGAAATATGCACATAAACTGAAAATGAAACTAGTAAAGCTTGCTGTACAATAATCTATAAGTAGAGCCTTATATTGCTATGCTGACCCGTTTACATACTGTACCTCCTGTATGTACAGTAAATACCACATACATATGAATATTTTGTGCTGTCGGTTCTCCACAGTTGGACATACCATATTGTAGCTAATTTAAAAAAAAACACTGAAATAAGCCCATGCATGGTCAAAATTTTGGTAATGATTTATTTTTTGTTCTCAGTCTTTCGCTTTGCCCAGAAACATGAAGGACGTGTGCTGGGTAGATATGGGTAATCTTCCCCTGTGGTGGTTTTGTGATGACTGGGCAATCCTTCAGCTAATCCTGCTGTGCCACCATGTGATTTTCTATGGAGAGACGATCACTCTGTAACTCTGCAAAAGCATTTCTCTCTGTCATTTAAAGGACATTTTTCAGGTGAAGAAATGGATTATTTGTGGTCACAGACGTCTAGCATTCATAAGGTCATTAGGAGTGTAATGTGGGATTCTGTAGCCTCCCCTCTATTGCCATTTTGCTCATAACACCTTTTCATTTCACGTTACCGTCACTGTTAACGTCACTGTTGCCACCTGTCAGATCTCATTCCGGGATTACATTGTGCCTTTTCTCTTCAATTGTGCCCTACTCAGTAAATTCCTTTGGTGTCTTCAACTATTGTAGAGGATTTTTGTTTTGAACACGACATCTCTTTTAACCATTTTAACAATTCACAATATTAAAGGAACAATATGTAAAAATCTGGCCAAAAGTGGTACTGCAGTCACAGTCAATATTTTGTAGTCCTCTCCCACTCTCCCTGACTCAGGTTGCCAGATTCACACCAAATCCAGCAGCAAACACAGGGAATTATTGTATCAGTTGTTTGTCCGTCTCCATTCACATTGCCATGACAGCCGTGCTAATGCTGAATGAATGTTTTGATTCATGTTTTTTTATTATTATTATTTGGACATTTGAGATAAAAAACAAAAACAAAATAAAAGCAATGTAATTATACATAGTTTATGCAAAATACATAAGCAATTGATGTCCAAAATAGGAGTGGGAAGAATGGATGTTGGAACGTATTTGTTCAGCGTATCAACATCAGGATTTGCTCAAGAGGAAATAAAACCTTTCAATTTTATTTATTCCCTATTTTTTAGACAAACATGTAAAAGTCCCACATCAAAAAGAGACTAACATTATTTTAATTGGGGTACATGTGGTCTTAAATGATTATTTTTACAATTAAGCTATAATCTGCAAAAAAACGTCTCGACCTTCGTCTTTTACCGTTTTTAGAGCAATCTGTCATAGAATGTGATCACATGCAATAAATACAAAAAGACATAGCCCGGAATCGAACCCGGGTTCCTGCATCGTAGGCGCACAGTTTTGACCACTAGACCACCGATTCACACGGATAGAGTCATCGTGAAGAACGGACTCAAACTGGCAAATTCTGCATCACACGAACTTTTATCAGCTGTCTCAATTGTTCAAAGACATCCCGATATAAATCCTCGTTTTAGTCTTTGTTTTGTCATTAATGATTTGAGAGTCATAACAAGACCTTTTTTAGTTCTAGCCACATGTTATTTTACCACTGAGATTAATGAACCGCACGGAGTTCTGGCAACCCGATCACGGACTTACATGACACTTCCTGATTGGCGAAACGGCGGAGGGTAGGACATCAAAATCAAAACAATAATAACTTTTACGGGTCGTAAAACTAATTTTGATAATCAAATATCTCGGATGAACTACTGTTATCAGTTAAAGATGTGTTTGAAAAGAACATGATTTATTAATGCCTTTTGAAATATTCGGGTCATTTAATGATGACTTGACATGCAAATATTACATATTGCTCCTTTAAATTCCAGCTGTCCATGTACAACGTTGTTTTCACGTTGATGTTCCTTGCTATATTTACAGGCTATTAATTTAAAACTTGCTTAACAGTCCAGCTTTTTGTTTTTGGCTCACTAGATAGATAGATATAGATAGATTGATTGATTGACAGAGCTAGATATATACATGGAATAGAGATGAAAAGACACAAAAGATACATAAAATGCATAAAGAAACACATGCAATACAGGAACAAGGAATGTTTAACCTAATAGTTATTTTCTGCATTGATTGTGCTCACCGTATGGCCTTCACTGACCTTTTTATTTAGCAGTAGCTTCATTAATCACACCGTATGTAAAAGATGAAGGGACTGCACAGTAATTGAATCCAGAAGCCATAAGGTCTTCTGGATTGCAGATTACCCATGATATGTGACCTTGGCTGCGGAGGAGTCTACAGTCAAAAGACTTTTGTGAGAATATACTGTAGGACAGGAAGTGCCAACAAGGTTTATATGTTGAATTACAAGTGTTACAAGTCAGGATTTATTGTGACTTTTCAATTTGGGGATAACTTTTAGATCAATGAGATATCATATGCATTAAAAGCCAAATTTAAATATTAAATTATTATTGTTTGTGGAGTGTTGTAGAAGAAAAAATAATACATCAAGTGGTCAAACTTTGAATTCAGACATCACTTGTATCACTTATATTTGTCAAGTGAACTTAGGACTGAAGAGAGTAGTGGTTCATGCACCAATAGTCTCAGAAAACAATGTCAAGATGATCAACGTGAACTTGTGGATTGTTTGCCCTGTGGGAGATTGGGAGAAACTTCACCCAGTGCTTCCACCAGGGTCAGTCCAGGTTTTGGGTTTGCATGAATGACAACATGTTAGTTGTTTGTGTGAAAAATACAGATTTGAAGTAAAAACGTTGAGCAGTAAAAACAAAACAAATATTGGTAACTAATACCAAAGATACTTTTGGTACTAATGAATACATAATCCGTTTTATATTGAGTTTGATGGCATGTTCATTTTCTCTATTTTTACTATGTAGTTGATACTGAGTCTATTAAAATGAAAATAAAATGTCCACAAAGTTCAATGCCTCTATCCTGCTGAAACAGGTGTAATAATTCCCCTGGAATAACATAACGTGAGGTGATTACTTCACATCATCCATCCATCCATCCATCCATTTTCTTCCGCTTTATCCGTTGCCGGGTCGCGGGGGCAGCAGTCTAAGCAGAGACGCCCAGACTTCCCTATCCACACACACTTCCTCCAGCTCGTCCGGGGGGACCCCAAGGCGTTCCCAGGCCAGCTGAGAGACATAGTCCCTCCAGCGTGTCCTGGGTCTTCCGCGGGGCCTCCTCCCGGTGGGGCGTGCCCGGAACACCTCCCCAGGGAGGCGTCCAGGAAGCATCCGGAACAGATGCCCGAGCCACCTCAACTGGTTCCTCTCGACGTGGAGAAGCAGCGGTTCTACTCCGAGCTCCTCCCGTGTGACTGAGCTCCTCACCCTATCTCTAAGGGAGCGCCCAGCCACTCTGCGGAGGAAGCTCATTTCGACCGCTTGTATCCGCGATCTCGTTCTTTCGGTCATTACCCAAAGCTCATGACCATAGGTGAGGGAGGGAACGAAGATTGACCGGTAAATCGAGAGCTTTGCCTTTCGGCTCAGCTCCCTCTTCACCACAACGGTCCGATACAGCGACCGCATAACTGCGCACGCTGCACCGATCCGCCTGTCAATCTCACGCTCCATTCTTCCCTCACTCGTGAACAAGACCCCGAGATACTTGAACTCCTCCACTTGAGGAAGGACCTCTCCACCCACCTGCAGAGGGCAAGGCACCTTTTTCCGGTCGAGCACCATGGCCTCGGATTTGGAGGTGCTGATTCTCATCCCAGCCGCTTCACACTCGGCTGCAAACCGTCCCAGTGCATGCTGCAGATCCTGGTTCGTTGGAGCCAACAGGACAACATCGTCCGCAAACAGCAGAGATGAAATCCTGTGGTCTCCGAACCGGACCCCCTCCGACCCCTGGCTGCGCCTAGATATTCTGTCCATAAATACAGTGAACAGAACCGGTGACAAAGGGCAGCCCTGTCGGAGGCCAACATTCACCGGGAACAGGTCTGACTTACTGCCGGCAATGCGAACACAGCTCTGGTTCCGGTCATACAGGGATCGGATGGCCCTCAGCAGAGGACCTCCGACCCCGTACTCCCGGAGAACCCCCCAAAGGACACCCCGGGGAACACAGTCGAACGCCTTCTCCAAATCCACAAAGCACATGTGGACAGGTTGGGCGAACTCCCATGAACCCTCGAGTATCCGATGGAGAGTATAGAGCTGGTCCAGTGTTCCGCGACCGGGACGAAAACCACACTGCTCCTCCTGGATCCGAGATTCGACCATCGGCCGTAACCTCCTCTCCAGTACCTTGGAGTAGACCTTACCGGGGAGGCTGAGGAGTGTGATCCCACGATAATTGGAACACACCCTCCGGTCCCCCTTCTTGTAGAGAGGGACCACCACCCCGGTCTGCCACTCCATTGGCACTGCCCCCGATCGCCACGCGATGTTGCAGAGACGTGTCAGCCAAGACAGTCCTACAACATCCAGAGACTTTAGATAATCAGGGCGGATCTCATCCACACCCGGAGCCTTGCCACCATGGAGGCTACCAACCACCTTGGTGACCTCAGCCAGGGAGATGGATGTACCCGCCCCAACATCCTCAGCCTCTGCCTCTGTAACAGAGGACGTGACGGGGGGATTGAGGAGAACCTCAAAGTATTCCTTCCACCGCCCGACAATATCCCCAGTCGAGGTCAGCAGCTCTCCACCCGCACCGTACATGGTGTTGGCAAAGAACTGCTTCCCCCTCCTGAGGCGCCGGATGGTTTGCCAGAATCTCTTCGAGGCCGACCGATAGTCATGCTCCATGGACTCTCCGAACTCCTCCCAGTCCCGGGTTTTTGCCTCTGCAACAGCCCGGGCCGCGGCACGCTTGGCCTGCCGGTACTGGACAGCTGCCTCAGGAGTCCCCCGAACCATCATGGCTCGATAGGACTCCTTCTTCAGCCTGACAGAATCCCTTACTGCCGGTGTCCACCACCGGGTTTGGGGGTTGCCGCCGGGACCAGCACCAGAGACCTTGCGACCACAGCTACGAGCCGCCGCATCGGCGATTGAGGCAGAGAACATGGTCCACTCGGACTCCATGTCCCCCTCCTCCGCCGGGACCTGGGAGAAGCTCTCCCGGAGGTGTGAGTTGAAAGTCCGTCTGACAGGGGGCTCAGCGAGACGTTCCCAGCAGACCCTCACTATACGCTTGGGTCTGCCAGGTCTGACCGGCTTCTTCCCCTGCCAGCGGATCCAACTCACGACCAGGTGATGATCGGTTGACAGCTCCGCCCCTCTCTTTACCCGAGTGTCCGAGACACGCGGTCGAAGGTCAGATGATACGACAACAAAGTCGATCATCGACCTCCGGCCTAGGGTGTCCTGGTGCCACGTGCACTGGTGGACACCCTTGTGCTCGAACATGGTGTTTGTGATGGACAAACCGCGACTGGCACAGAAGTCCAACAACTGAGCACCGCTCGGGTTCAGATCAGGGGGGCCGCTCTTCCCGATCACCCCTCTCCAAGTGTCACTGGCGTTTCCCACATGGGCGTTGAAGTCCCCCAGGAGAATAACGGAATCCCCGGGCGGTGCACCGTCCAGTACCCCTCCCAAGGACTCCAAGAAGGCCGGGTACTCTACACTGCTGTTAGGCCCGTAGGCCGTCACAACAATGAGAGACTTGTCCCCCACCCGGAGGCGGAGGGACGCGACCCTCTCATTCACCGGGGAGAACTCCAACACGTGGCGGCTGAGATGGGGGGCAATGAGAATGGCCACCCCAGCTCGCCGCCTCTCCCCGCGGGAAACTCCAGAAAAGTGGAGCGTCCAACCCCTCTCAAGGAGTTGGGTTCCAGAGCCCAAGCTGTGTGTGGAGGTGAGGCCGACTATCTCTAGTCGGTATCGCTCAACCTCCCCCACGAGCTCGGGCTCCTTCCCCCCCAGTGAGGTGACGTTCCACGTCCCAAGAGCCAGATGTTGTGTGTGCGGACTGGGTCGCCGAGGTCTCCGCCTTCGACTGCCGCCCAGTCCTCTCTGCACCGCTTCACCACGGACCCCTCTGCAGGTGGTGGGCCCACAGGAGGGACTGCCCACGTCATCCCTTCGGGCTGAGCCCGGCCGGGCCCCGTGGGCTAAGGCCCGGCCACCAGGCGCTCGCCCCGACCCCAGGCCTGGCTCCAGGGTGGGGCCCCGGCTGCGCCATGCCGGGCGACGTCACTGTTTTCGTGTTAGTGCTGTCCATGGTGTCTTCTGGACTGCTCTTTGTCTGACTCGTCACCTGAGACCTGTCTGCCATGGGAGGCCCTACCAGGGGCATGAAGCCCCAGACAGCATAGCTCCCAGGATCATCCGAGTACTCAAACTCCCCCACCACGTTAAGGTGGCAGTCCAGGGGGGAGACTCCCTTTGAATTGACTTCACATCAATTCACTCAAATACGAGTTATACAATTATATGGCAACTTTGTCATTGCAATTGTTTTGCATCCATTCACTGATCTCTTGTATGCAGTGAAGGAGGGAGTCCAATGGTCCATGTTCTCCTGCAGTCAGGGACACTGTGAGACCTCAGTTCCATCTGCAAAGTTGTGATAGAAGACATTATTTCTGCGTAAAGATTGAACGGAAGAGGGCCCACAATTGACCCCTGTGGCACTGCGCAGGTCAGGGCCTTGTGATCTGAGACACAGTTTCCAATCTCCACAAAGTACTTTCCATCTTTTAGATAAGACCAGACTGGAATATATAGAGTCATGAGCCTGACCAACATCAGAATCAGTGTCACACGCTATCAGTCTGAACTGTGACGTCAAGAGAACACACATTGCATGTTTTTTTTCCTTCTCCATCTTGGGAGTGCAGATTGGCACTGAATGCTCAGACGTCACCTTGAGCTTTGAGGTGTGCAGCTGACATTTTAGGAATTAATGATCACTTGTGAAAATACTGGACTTATTAAAATGGGATTAATCACTGACATTGAATGTCAGTTTCTTGAGCATAAAGCACATTTCTAAAAGGTTTTACTGAACAAAAAATGTACACACTGTTATTTCTGATTGAGCAGCAACGCAGTGTTCTTGCTTGACTAAATTGAGTGCATCTTAAAAGGGCATCTTGCTTAATCATTTGACAAATCACAGCATGCTAATGAGCAGGGTCAACCCTAACACTAACACGTTTCATTTCATCACACTCTTAAACGGGTTTAGGACAGCATCCATAACAAAAATAATGTTTTTATATGTTGTAAATTTGATTGTTTTTGTACTGGCAGACTATATTTCCTAACAAGTGGGTTTGTTTACGGGTGTGTGGACTGTGGACCATCTTTATGTGATCATTCTCCCTAGTGTTTGTAAACCAATCAGCCATGCCACAGCTGTGCATGTCTCCCTCAGCCTCTTCTCTTCCATTGGCAAAAATTCTGATTTAGACATCAAGTCATCAATACTAATGCATCATGTGATATTTCTCATACTCACATTTTTTAAGTATATGAGAGTATGAGATTTTTTAAATCTGGTTATTTCACACTGTACTGTCCCGAATTCGGGCTGTGTGATTCAATTCAATTCCATTTCTTTTTCTATAGCCTTAAATCACAACAGTAGTTATCTCATGATATATTGTGGCACAGTTGTTACTTCTTTGACATAGACAAGCCCCCTAAAATATTCTTCTTATGTAACTGTCCCGGTTTCACTGCGCACGAGGCTGTGTGAGGCAAAGCGTAATGGTGCTGCCGGATGCGTCTCCAAATGTGTGCGTTTACTGTATATGTGTGTGCTTGTACGTGCTATTCCACCATAGGAATAGACCCTGCCCTTCTCTCCAGTGTGAATTATGCAAGCCTCTACGATGGGCCATTTTAACACAGCTTGGAATTAGGAGATGCACACCTGTAATAAAATACCAGCGCATAAAACAGAAATAAATAAATATCCGAAAGAGGAAAAAGCAGGAAAAAGATTGCTCAAACATGGCTTAAGATTTACAGTGGCTCAGTAATGATTTAAAAAAAAAAAGGTGCAGATAGCAGTGGGTAAGCCAGGGGAATAAAACAGGGGAAACTCCTTTGAAGATTTGGAAAAGGACGTTCAAATCCACGGTAGCTTCTCCAGCAGTCTATGCATGTACAGAAAACCTACCTGCTAATTTTGCACAATTATCCTAAAGAGTCAGTGATTAGCAGGCACCCAGCCAGAGTTGGATTTATTCGTGCAGCACACACACCACACAGTGCCACAGGAGCGATACACAAAGTAGGCTGGTTATTTTTGGTCCAGGTGCTATATAAAAAGACAGGCTGCCACAATTAGCAGCAGTTTCTTAACATGCTGTGACAGCTGTCACATTTGCACACAGTTTGTCTTTTTATATATCAATTGTAGAACTTCTGTCAGCTTGAGCCTTTCTTGCGATTTATTGAACTACATTTTTCTCACAGACTGTTGGTGTCTATGTGCAGGTATTGGTCAGGGCGTGCCTGTGGTGGCTCTGATCGTTGAAGGAGGGCCTAATGTGATCTCCATAGTGCTGGAGTACCTCAGGGACACACCTCCAGTCCCAGTGGTCGTTTGTGATGGCAGCGGCCGCGCCTCAGACATCTTGGCCTTTGGACACAAATATTCAGAGGAGGGAGGGTATGAATTCATCCCAAGGGATTCTTCGTAAAAGTTTTGAATTTTACATACTCCACCATATACTGTACAGTACATACCAACTGTGCTGTAGAATTTCACCCATAGAAAATATATATATACAATAGTGATACTTGCATTTTAATGTCACTCGTTTTGTTATGTTCACCCTTTCTGGGGTGGTGACTTGAATAAATGCAATAAGTGGAAACTATAAATGCAAGATCCAAAATCCAACTTGAATGTGGACATGTTCACATTCATGGTGCAGAGTAATGAGTATGTTGCCAAGCCCTCTACATTCATGTCTACAAACTGTTCTTATACAGATGGATGAGGGCCAGCTATATTAGCTCTCAACACCAACCATAGATCACAGAATATATGGATTTTCTATTTATTTTTGATATACTAAATAATTATTGTAAAATCATTTAGTTCTGGATGGTCAGGCTAATGAATACTAACATGGTCCCTTTGGTTAACATGTGTTTCTCTTTTTCTGATTCCCGGTTCTTCTGTCTTCCTGCCTGGTTCATCTCACCTGCTTCAGGATAATTAACGAATCTCTGCGAGACCAGTTACTGGTGACCATTCAAAAGACCTTCACGTACAGCCGCACACAAGCGCAGCATCTGTTCATCATCCTCATGGAGTGCATGAAGAAGAAGGAGCTGGTGAGTCTGCACCTCCTACTCCAGCCTCCCTCATTGTACTTCTGTAACTAATAACCTTCAGGTGTCAACATTTTCTCAGAAAACCTTTGTAAATGAGGTCTGCTGTTTTATTGTACTTTAATTGGCTCCAGTATAAAGATGTGAATATAAAATTAAATTATAGACTTGACAGATTGTTTTCCATACAGCTTTATATCACGACATTTATATTGAACCAATTAGACCATTTAATGAATACGATACGATGTTAACTCGATGTAAATGTATTCTGGTGGCCTTCACCTTCAGAGTGTGTAATCCAATGGGAGGACTCATTTCCATCCAAACACAGCCCTTACTTGTTCCTCTGGGACCCCAGGAACTACACCCGAGCCTCTTAAGCACCGTCTGTCACATACAAGTAGCATCTTATGGAAGACGGGGATGCTGTGTCACATTTACTTAAGTGTGTTTGCCATTTATGCTGTATAAGTACATCACAGATTACACTAATATAGGATGGCTGTCAACACCGTTGTGGACGTGAGATTGAAAGTGGCTTCTCCTTATGCAGATGAAACCCACTGCTCAGAGATGAATAACACGTCAGCCAAATAAGCAGCCGCTGTGTCCTATCTCTTCAGCAGATCTATACCGCTGTTGTTACACTGTGTTTGCCTCTGGTACAATTGTTGTACATTTAACAGACGACAGCTTGTTCATATAGAGTAGACAAGGTTGTTTCATTGCATTCTTTTTGGAGGCTCTGCTGTAGGAAAGAAGTCTCATAAATGCTGTTTGATAGCAAATGTATTTTCTTGTAATCTTAACCTTATGGACAAGTACACTGTTTGTACCCTGCAGAGATGATGTTGGTTGTTGAAGCGCAGCCGAGGAGTTTTGACATCTGCTTCTTTACTTTGACTTTTCTGTTAAGCGCAATGGGAGCTTGCACCCAGAAAAGAAAAAGAAAACGGACTTTTTCTGAGTAGTAATAGTAAAAAAGTGTCTATTGCATTGTGTTTGTTCACATCCAGGGCTAAAGTGTATTATTATTGTTTTTTTGATGTATTACCATTACAATGTCATATATACCAACAATATAAACAACGTAATCCTTGTCAAAGATAGTTAATGGTTTAACATCAAGGAAGTGGACCCGCTCTGTTGGGTTGGCAGCGTGTTTGTTGTTTTTGGGCCATCTCTTCCTTATTGATTTTCAAATAAAGATAAACAATACAGTATTGATGTTTACAACAACAGGCAGAATGCAATCCTGACTCTCGCCAGACCCTTGTAGTTCCGCCATGCTCCACCAGAGGAGTTTCGCTTCACACCAAGGGTCTGGTATTGAGAGCATAGAAAACTCCCTCAGGAGATCATAAAATAATCGGCCAATCAGGATCGCCGGTGTTACGTCGGGTTTGCACCGCCTTCTCAATCGTGTCTCCAAGATGGCGGACATAAAGTCTGTGAATTAAAAAAAAAGGTTTAAATACGAATATATTAAGACACGGATGTCACTTTTAACGCAATATGAGGCGAGATGTTGACGGTTCCATGTTGTTATATTTGCGTTTTAAGAGTCAAATGTTCGTGTAAAGTTTGGTTTAAGTACTGGTTTAAGTGTTCCTGTTTACAAAACTACGCAGCAGGGTTGCCAGGTTGGGTAGTTTCCTGCATACTTTTTTCCAAGAGACTTGTAGGCAATAAATAAACAGAAAGACAAGAAACATAATCATGATAGCCCAAGTTGATTACATAACTTTTTTGGCCAAAAAATCAAAAAAAAAAAAAATTGTGCACATTCTCACGGGTTTTGGGCTGAAAAATCTTGCCGGCATTTGGCAACCCATGGGAGTTGTGCGCTGAATTGTGTGCTTCAATGTGAGAGGTTGAAGGAACACGTCATTCAAGATAACAGACAAGTGGTTTATCCAATCACACACAAGGATTTTTTTACAAGGCCCCGCCTTCTGAAATGTATCCGCTATGGATTAGACCCAGACTCATGTGAGAAACGCAGCGATCTACAAAGGTCTGGCGAGAGTCAGGCTAGCAGAATACTGCATCATTTAGAAAAAAAAGTAGAATATGAAACGTGTTAATTTAAATAATGATTATCCTTATACAGTTTTAAAGAGGCACAGATGTCCTTGCTTCAACCACTTTGTCTCCACAAAAGAAGATAGAGAAGGAAAGTGCTGTGTTTAGCTGAGCGCCTGAGAGGCCAAGTGGAGGAAGAAGTGAAACTTTTTTTCCTTATTTTCCACATGTTGGTTTATTCATGTTGATGTTTTGTGCTTGAGTTATTTCCTTGCTTTCTACACTATTTTGCCAACGACTGTTATTTTTATGATAAGGCTCAATTCGTTTGCCGTTTATTTGAAAAGTATACTTTTTTGTGTAAGCAGAAATGGACTCATTTGATTTATTTCAGTCTATTTTTTTAGCTAAAGCATTATCCCGGTACTATCATGTGTTTTTGTGCTGTCCGTCTTTAAATTTCCCAAAGTTGCTTCACTACCTTGTGACTGTATCCTCCATCTGCGTATCAATGATTCAACAGGCAATCGTCGTTATATGTTTAATTCATATTAAATATGGAGGAGGTGCGGCAGACCCACTGTGTTCCCCCGCCTCCTGACAACAGATAGTAGGATGGAGGAGGAAGTTGAGGAAGAGAACAAGTGACTTAAATGGACCATGAGCGAAAGGGAGGGCTGGAAGGACCCAACCCAAAACTTCAAATATAAAGATGGTGACTTGGACATGAATACAGTTTTAGCTAACAGTTTTGGAAGAACAGAGAACAATACCTCCAATCATTCACCAACATCTTCTTGATCTTTAATGGTCATACTATTTTCATGCACAGGTCATTATTGTAGTGTTTTTTATTTCACCACTTGGACCACACATGCTCCACCACTTGTAGTTGAGTGTGTTTTGTGTCAGAGCATGAATCCAGGCTTGTTAAATGAAGATGAATGTGTTCTAATCAATGCAGCTCATTGCTGTGTGAACACCCCTTTTCCAATCATTGAAGCATGAGTTTTGACCTTTCTGGAAAATGTGCGTTTGGTCGGAGATCCCTTTCGCAGGGACATATGTACCCTTTTTATGTCTGTTCCTTAATGGCCGCGTTTCTGGATCTTTAAATCATATCATACATACAAATGATGAAAATTGTATGTATTTTTTAAATCTTCAATTAAGACACATAAATCTTGCACAAAAGAGACTATATTTTAACCTTTTAACATGTTTGCACACTTCCTGTCTTTTTGCACACTCTGAGTGATTCTTCAGTATCCAAGCAAAATGTGACATGAACATTTCTCCATTGTGAGATCAATGAAGTTTACCTTATCTTATTAAAAAATGTCCATAAGAAACAAAAACAGACAAAAAAATAGAGACAAACAGCACTCAAACATATTTACAAAATTCTGTATAGACAGTTCCTCCAATGGAGTTAATAAGTGTGCCTAACACTGCTCTGCAAAACCTCGCCCATAGTATCAGTCATTTCTAACACAAAACCATCCCCTCCCACTCACTGAACACTCCCCAGCTCTTTTCAAACAACCCACACAGAGGATTTCTTAGTGTTTTCTTTGGATCTCCATTCTGCTCTTATGTGGTACATCACTATGTATTTTGTGTTTTTATTGGAGTAAGGACAAATAAACTTAAAGCGAATGGAGACATACGCAGTTCTTCAACATGCAGCAGTTGAAACACTGATTCTTTCACCACGTTTCACATTTATTGTTCACTCACTCCACACACTTCATTGGGGGATCTGCTGCTCTGTAAAAAGAGCTGAGCAGCTCTCACCATGTCCCCATGTCCCCTGTGTTAATTGTGGGCTGTTTCGGATAGAGTAAGTGAATGGGACCTAGCGTCAGAACTCAAGGACACTTGAACATAGTCTATTTTATTGGTCAGCGCATTTCTTACTGAAATTGTGATAATTATATCTGTGTACATGTGTTTCAATGCTGGCAAACACTGTTTTCACTGGCAGCAGTAGATTCAGCTTCAGCTATAAAGGAGACATGTATAATCTGTGTATGATTTTATACACATATACAGAGTATAATCCATTAAATGGATTCATATTTATATCTGTATCGAACAGTATTCTGTATTGAACAGTAGGAAGTAACTACTGTTTTTTTCTTAGTTTGATCTAAAATAAGTTTGACTTCTTTCCACTCCATTTTGGATTTCTATGAATGTCTCAACAGTATGAAGTTGAGATTTGTAATTATTGTCATGATGATTCGGTTGCTCTGTCCTGGAAGCTGCTGTAGAGGCGCGCTCAAAACAGGTTATTCCGAAGGGTCACCTTGGGGATACAGCTTCGGAAGAGAGGAGGGAAGCGGAGGAAGTGGAAGAGGACAGGACAGTTGATGCATGTAGCAGTGGGAGGCTGTTGCTAGATTAGTGTCTGGAGGCGGGTGCGGCTGTAGGATGAGGTGTGAAAGGATTAAGCCGGGGGTAAAGGTGAGCGGACCTGAAGGGAGAGAGGAAACAAAAGTCAATGTCTGCTATCATCATTACCTCTCTTCTGCTACTTCACCATCCGTCTCGTGTCCTTACGCAGCCCAGACCTTTGCTTATGGGGAGCATAGAAAACTGTTGCTTGACAAATGCATACTAATAATTTCTCAGTCAATAAATAAGGAATTTAATATGTATTTTAATATGTTCATAATAATACATCTCATAAATAGTGTCTACATGCATATTATGTGTTGTAGGAATGTAGTTGTCCTTTTTTATGGGAAGATTGGGCTTGTGGTGAAATATTCAGTACTGTGAATCTCAGATTTGGTTTACACTCAAAGGCAGAGCAGTCATTTACACATGCTTGAAAGCACATGGACTTGGTTAGATCATAGAATTGTATGTGTGCTAAACAGATGGCTCCCTAAATGTGTTGTTAGCATCAATTAGAATGAAAGCCGGGGCATTCTACCAAAGAGTAATCTTGCCACTGGCACATGATGATGAAAGCACAAAATGCACACAGAATTACCCTCTGCACCATTATTTGTCTTATAAGAAGTTGCAAATCTAACTGATTTTGCAATGCATGACACAGTACAAAGATGTGAAATGATGTTACTATCTGGGGGCAGAGGAAATGTATCCCTGACACATAGTATAGAACAGATGAATGGGCAACATAATAGAGACTTTATCATCCGAGGAAACTATAGTACTTTTACATTCTGATGTAAGGAAAGTGCGGAAGTGGAGGGTTATCCCACACTGTTGCAACATTCCCTGAGGGGCAATGCAGCTGCAGCAAATCCCACAGATTCCTGGAGCTCCACAAAATGAAGCCATTTAGAGGGAGAGATGGGCTGCAGGGAGTAAGGGAAGGTGGGAGGAGATGGATGTGTGGATGGAAAGATTAGCAAGGAGCTCGTTGGGCATTCAGAGCACGCATCTTCCGTACACGGCTCCCACAAGGTGCCCTTCGCGCATGCACGGACATACAAGCATTTGTGCAGATGTATACACATGTTTCTCCTGCTATGCCACACAAGCATCTTTACGGCACAAAGATTATCCACCAAAGCTGTGCCATCGCGTACAGTTCCCTCCCTGCTCTGTGGCTTTGATCCTAGAGCCATTACACAGGAAAGAAATGACATCCAAAATGTCAGTCTGTGCGCAATACGCTATTTGTCTTCATCTGTCTTTGGAATGATTCAAGGTCTAATGAAGTTGAACAACCAACATAACATTTTTTTCCAAGTTGCAGTGGGTGCATTTTTATTGTATTATTCGTGTATTTTAACACAAACAACATTTGTATAAATGCACATTCTGTCCACAAAATTGCCTCACACTAATATGAAATGTAGAAGTAACAAATTCAAACGCATTGGTGTAAATCCTGTTATTGTCTTGTTTGTCTTCCGATGTGTCAGATAACTGTTTTCCGGATGGGGTCCGAGGGTCATCAGGACATTGACCTGGCCATCCTGACTGCTTTACTCAAAGGTGAGTATGTTATTGTGTGTGTTTCAGCAGATTGTATATAAGTGGTGTTACGGTATTAGGGCTGAAACAACTAATCGATTATTGAAATAGTCGACAACTATTTTAGTGATGGTTTAATCGTTTTCTGGTTCACACGGACTCAAACAGAGCAAAAATGACATGAAAATGTAGTATTTTTGATTAAAACCGATCTGTCTGTCTCATCCAATCAGAGCAGAATTAGCACAAAGAGCCTGTTACAAACATTTACTTTAAGTTTACGCCATCAATACGTCCTCGAGTTTTGCCACTTTAGCTTTTTGTGATGAAAAAATATTTTTTTTCTACACAATTCACAGCCAAGCGATTACTCGATTAATCGTAAAAATAATTGATAGATTAATCGATTACAAAATAATCGTTAGTTGCAGCTCTATACGGTATGTTGCCGTATCTCCTGGGATGTCGTTATTTAGACACTTCTGTTGTTTGAAGTTTTCACTATCCCACTTTCAGTATTCAGCATAAAGGCAGTTTAAACAACACATGCTCGTACTGTATGTGTTTTGGCCCAACACTGATTTACAAATAGCATCAAGAAGAACAACATCTAAAGCACTCATCAAGATGTAACCACCCTAAAACAGTCAGGTTGGTGAGGTTATAGAGTCTGAGAACAATTTCAAATATAGAACTTTTATTTTCTACTCATGGATCCTTGAAGAACACATCCTTCCATTGACAGCAGAATATCACATTTCCTTACATGTTAGATAAAAGTAATTATATACTTTGAAACAAGAAGAAACAGTTTCATTTTTGCCTGGATATGTCGCCATCGTAATATGGACTTTAAAGACACAAAGCACGGCATTGCCAGGCATTTGGTGATTGATAATTCAGAGCCATTTTTGGGACGGCTGGAGTAGTATTGAGATGCATGAATAAAACTGACTGATTGAAATTAAGTTGACAATGCTAATGTGATGGCAAGAACAGTAAACCAAAACATTTTATCAACTAAAAAGTTGTATTGCTTTCTTTGACAAGTTTGGGTTCAGGTGAGTGTTTCGTATGCAACCAGCACACAACAACACCTGGAGCATTATCTCCTGGCATCACGAACACAGCTGCTCATTAAATCTCGTTTTACAGAAAACTGATTATTGACTTGCGGTAACAAAATATCTTGTTAATTTCATCACAGAAACTTTTATTAAGATTTTCACTGAGCATTTTTTTTCTTTAACCCTTCATTTGGTGGACCACCTTTTGAGTCAATATACTGTATCTACTTGAAGCTTGGAACTGAAATATACCTCTTTAGGCCCTTTTACCATCAACCATTTGGTAAAGGCCCACATTTAAAACAAAATAGTGGTTAAAAAAAAAAAGAAAAACGTTAAAACTAATTATTTGTGTTATCAGTGCTCCTATATCTTAGAAAATCCCCTAGAAAATTACATTGCTATCAAGGAGTGAATGTTAAAGGTCCTATATCACGCTTTTCTTCATGTTTCACACTCAATCCTATACACATGTGTGATATTAATGTGTATGATACACCACACAACAATCAAAGCTTGTGAGATTAGAGCAATCTCTTGTATAGAGGTGACGTCACCTCGACTCAAACGAGCTGATCCAGAGAAGAGTCTGCTCCTCTGCCTGTGAGCCCGCCTCCCCCCGCCCGCACGGTGACGTAGCATCACGCTTTTGTCGTTTATCACCTGTACTTAGTAATTTCATACATAAGAATAAACTTTTTCCAACAAGGACAATCCGTCACATCGAGCCCTATGTCCTCGATGCACAATCAGACCCTAGTTATTTAGTTTACAGAAGTATACAGCAAGTTAGTGTCACTACTTACAGATCGAGTGGTCCGAGTTACGTCTTTTACCGTGGGAATAACGTGTTTCCAGATCAGCTTTTGAGTAAGTCCAGTTCCATTGTCCCTGTAGTTCTGGAACAGTCTCAGTGAAGTGTCGCAGATGAACCAGTATTATAATAGATCCATGAGATGAACAGATGAAAAAAGTCGAGCCGCTTTCTTCCTCTTAGGGCCAAATAGTGTGTCACATATTTACACCCATAACACACTTCATTCAAGTTGACGTGATCCTAACACTTTTAGTCGCTGACAAAAGCATAAAAACAGCAGCTCTATGTGGTGTCCGCGAGACCAGACTACAGACGCTGGACTCGGGAGCCGGAGCCTGTGCGCTCTGATTTGCTGTTTTGATCCGTCAATCACCTCCCGCCGGCTTTTAATTTATTTTTATTTGTATTATTTTTGACAAAAAACAGCATACTAATTGTGTATTGTTTACCCTGTTTTGACAAAAGTATTTAACAACTATTTTAAATACAAAGCAAACGGGGTCATGCGCGTCATCAGTGTGGTTTTGGTCACTGAAGTGGACCCGAGCGCTTCTGTGCCTCACGCTGGGGAAGGAGACAGATTGTTCTCTTACAAAAGATTGACAGAATCAATGAATAAACTACTGTGGGCTTGTGTATGAAGGCCAAATAGCATTGTAATCATGTTGAAAGCAGAGAAAAGTCAAAATCAGATATATGGGCCCTTTAAAGGGTTAATCTAATGTAGCCTTAATTTCACTTCACTTTTACTTGAGGACTGTACTTAAAAATAGAATACAGAAGGATGTTTTAGAGTGATCTACTCCAAAGCAAAACACTTATTAACCGCCTTATATAACAAATTGCTATGTAGCCCCTCTCATTGAACTGCAGAAGGGTTTAAAAGGGCAGGCATCGTGATTAAACTCAACCAGTGATTGTTCTTAATCCGATATTCTGCTGTTCCTTCTTGCACGGCTCTTTCTTCTCGGGTCCTCCCCAAGCACACACACATAGGACTCACAGATCCATATCTTCGATCGGATGTCCAGTAGCTTATATTGATTTGGATTGCATTTGGCTCTTTGCTAAATGCAACGTTAACCAGATCTTTTGGAGTTTTCAAACATGCTCTCATCCACTCATCCACACATACCCATGCATGTGGACAGGGAGCCAGACCAGACAGCATGCATTTTTCACGACCATGCAAGCTCCCTTGAGACTGCTTAACAAGACAGACTGACAATATCTCAGATCAATCTTGTAAACAGAACCACTCGTTTTCAGAAAGCCCAACGCTTTATTTATAGTGACGTTGGCCCTCATTTATGAAAATTGCGCAGAAAAAGGTGTACATTTTGGGTGTAGATTCCAGATATGCAAGATCCGACATGGCATTCGTGATCGTGTGAGATCCGCACAGATTCGAGCGTACACACCTGCGGCTGTTTAATAAATGCCGCGGTCAAAACCAGCGTATTTATGAAAGTCACGCCTATAAATATTTAGAAACTGCCTGATCACGCCCCGTCTTTACGACAGGTCAGCAGGAAGTCGGCTAAGAAGACTGTTTGGAAGCCTCAAAAAGCACGCACTTCTGAGTTTATTCACGTTTAAGTGGTAGAATGGTAGCCATTTTTTTTATTGTTTGATCCAAAGTAACAGACTAAAGAAACATATGAGAATACGGCTTGTTATTTTGTCTCCAATCTGTCACTTGCAGTCTCACATTTTGTATGGGAAGGGGCAAAGCCGGTCCCGATGAGAGAGTAAAATATCGTACATTATTTAGAAGTCTGGCTGATCTCATTTCTCTATTGTACACCACTGCCTTTTTGATTTTGTTAATCTGTTTCTGAAGCGAATACCATTATTTTCAATGTATTGGTCATGTGACTTAGTCTTTTTCATGCTGTTTTTGTTGCCCTTTTTCATATGTGTACGACATGACATTTAGATGAATGAGAGCAGGAAGAAGTAGCTGAATGCTGTTTTGAGGCAAGGATATGGAAGAGATTTTTATTCTTTTAAATGTGGCTCTATGGTACACAGCATGCGCCCTTCTATGACGGGCCCATTGAGAAACGCTATGGCTTTTAGTGTAGAATAAAATCTGTCACATCCTGCATGAGCGTCCTTTAAAACACTGGATTAGACATCTTTGCCACTGCCTGGAGCTCAATATTGCAGAGCAGAAGAGAGCTTGGAGAAAAGGCTACCTACTTCCAACAGGGTATTTAGGCAAATTAATAGTCCGTCAGAATCAGTGGGATGAAGAAGACTTCTGCATAGAGTTCCACCCTCTGTCCCTAAAGGCAAGCTCACAGGCTCCCACGGCATTAAGATAAAACAAGACCACCCTCTCTTTTAATGTAATGCTCTATGTATCTCCCCTGCTCTTATTAGTTAGTCCTCGATCTTATTAATATGGCTGTCTGAACTCACACCATTAAGCTGCAGTAATGCTGAGGGCCTTTGAGAGCAAATGATACTCGGAAGCTTATTAAAATGTCTACTACTAAGGATTATTCTACTTCGCATTAGGCCAGATTTCTCCAAAGGCAGAAACAAACCTCTTCCCCTCCTACATTTTTTTGCACTCCTCCTAGTGAGTGTCTGATTTGTTCTTGTTGCCAGTAGCACAGTTTTTGATGTGCATTTACTAGCATTATACTGCATATACAAAACAAATTTAAGCAATTAATCACACTATTGATGTCTTATTCCTTTTCAGGAGCCAATGCCTCTGCGCCTGATCAGTTGAGTTTAGCTTTGGCCTGGAACCGGGTGGACATTGCTCGTAGCCAAATCTTCATCTATGGACAGCAATGGCCTGTAAGAAATACATGTTTTATGTCATTGAATGCAATTTCATCTAAACATTTTGTTTTAGACTTTTTACTTTGATTACTGCAATATTCCCCTGCTGAAGCCGAATAGGGAGGTGCTCATGGTTTTTTTTTTTTACTACTCTCTGGCTCCCATTCACTTTCATTAAAATGCTGTGTCGGATTCACCCTTTTGGCTTTAAAACAATATGCTTAAGATGATAATGATGATAGTGATATGACCCAAAATAACAGACAGTCAGTGGTGGGAACGGACCGGCTCATTGGTTGCTACAAGGTTGCTATGAGAGCCTGTTATAGTTAGCTCTGATAACCTTCTTCCAGAAAAATCCAAACGCTATGGATGTCGTCAGCACCTTTCTACGGTCTGTATTTTTATATGAATATTTTAACACTGACATTAAGAATTAACATTGTGCAATACAATGTGCAATCTCTAATAATAATTGATAGGGAATCCATGAAGCTATAATAAAATCAAAGTGTGTTTGAAATAAGTGGATCCCATCCCTGCAGCTCTCTACCAAATGAATAATTGAAACCCCTGCAGAGACGTGTTCACCGTGCTTTACTGCCCCTCATGTGTGTATTGTTCTTTATATTTTTACTCACACAGGTTGGCTCTCTGGAGCAGGCCATGCTGGACGCCTTAGTTCTTGACAGAGTGGACTTTGTCAAACTCTTGATTGAAAATGGAGTCAGCATGCATCGTTTCCTTACCCTCTCCAGACTGGAGGAGCTTTACAACACGGTAATGACAATAGTATAACACTAATCAGAAAATATATGTAAATAATATATTCAACTATACACTATACTAACTGACTGCTATCTAACTTCATACAGGCACACAATGATAATAGTCATTATATGGTTATTGTGATTATTTAGGTCTTATACACCACTCGATGGCACCCCAGCCATCAAACATGTGTAATTTGAGTCATTTTATAAAGCTAAAATAGTATTATTATAATTGTGATATGTGATATATGTAAACTATTACCAATTATTACCATTGTACGTAACAGGAAGTCTCAAACTAGGAATTTGCTTTGGCTCATGGTGCCACAAGTTATAAATGTGAACATAGATATGAAGGCATGCATCAAAAATCTAGGACACAAATGTCTATGTTTTACAAGTGCACAGTAAATACTCAGTAGATATTTAACAGTGCAGCTTAAAGTTACAGTAGTATAAGGTAACGATCATAAAGGGTCAAGTGATGTTATGCATTTTAAAACTATTACATCAGATATTCATTTCTTTAATTTCTCATTTATCCACTCCACAATGTTATTTGCTCTGCCACTATGTCAGAATTTGTCCTGATTATGTCTTGGATCAAGATTCAGATAAACCTGGTAAACAGTAATGTCTTCTTTAAGTATTTGATAAGTATATTGTTCCTGCTCACAATCAGGGTTAAACTATAAATCATTTTGTGACATTGCTGGTTTTACAAAAAATATATACTTTCATGTCACACTTCTGTTAGCGCCTGCCTTTAGTGGGATGAATGGCGAATGGCTTCTCACTATCTATAGCCCTGAGGGGATCTTTTGTCGAAGGTGTGAAAATGAGGAAAAGTGGATTGCCCCGCGGTGTGAAATGTAGAAAATTAAATAAATTTCACTCAATCACACATGTACAGATCTTGCAGTTTGATACGCGCTAACAGCTAACCATTATATTGCATTGTTTTTTCCCAATATTACCAGAGACATGGGCCATCCAACACGCTGTACCACCTCGTTAGGGATGTCAAAAAGGTATGTGGAGTAGTGGGAATGATGACTTCAATGTGTGATAGAGTTGTATGTGTTAACTGTGACGTTGCTTTGTCTGCATTGGGTTTTTAATATGTTGTGTAAGCAGTAGAGGCTGGCTTTTCTTTTTCAGCTGGAGTTGCGGGCTGTTGTGTAAAGATGTGCACGACCCTCATCCGTAGAGCCACTGCTGCTACTTATCCCATTTTCTCTTTCTCAAACACACACAAACACATCATTTTCTATATTGTGCATACTCGATCTGTTGTGACTTCATAGAAAAGTACCATTATGTTCCATTTAGGAAATAATGGCGACCTGTGGCTTCTGTGTTACCAATACAAGTGAGAATGACATAAATGCAGTATTTACAATGAAGCATAAGTAAAGCTTATTAACTTAACCCCATGTGCCAAGTTAGAATACAAATTTCTCTCAAATGTAAATGTTAAGTTGAATATATTTAAGATTAGGCTTTCCCCGAGTTTTTAAACTTTGATAAAGTTGATAATGTTTCTTCCTGATTCAAAAAGGTTAATTTTTTAGGTTTTAAAAAAAAAAGGTTAATTTTTTAACCCCCTCTCGACCAGTGGTTGAGAGGGGGCGTGTATCACTCTGGAAAAGGGTGTCACACTTATGGGACACCAGTGGAGGGTGTCCCATAAGTGTGACACCCTCCTCCAGAGACCTGCGGGCGAGAGGGACCGTGGTCAGTTTGAGCGACCTGCCAGGACTAAAAAAGCATGTTACTTCCTGGTTAGACATGTGACATACATAGATAGTTACAATTGCAACCACAAAGTAAATGATGGCCAAAGCTTCTATAATTAAACAATATTTATGGAAGAATAGGTAGAAATATGAGACGGCATCTTTATCTTGAATAAATGATTAAACTGTCAGATGATTACTCTTTTGTGTGTTAATTCTCTTCTTCTGCAAGTGATCACATAAAGTGCGTTTACAATACAGAGTATGTTTAAACCAAGCCCCGCGATCCAAGATGGCGCCGTATTCAAATGAATGGTTGTGCTCAGTGGCGCTTTGTGACGGCATGGGGGCTGAAAGATTAGCGGAAGTCGGCTGGAACTCGCAAAGATCTATGGGAAACTCGCCTGTATTTGGGCATCGTCTGGTCCTCCTGGTTCTGCGCAGTGGATGATCTCCCATAATTTGTTGCGTCAAACACGCGTGCACAGAGGGGCTTGGCCGCGCTCTGACCAATCAGAGCAGTTCATCAGCGCGGGAGTTAGAGTGAGAGCCAGACGAGCAGAGTTTGTGGCACTAAAGTGTGGATTTAAACAAAACCGAAGGATTTAAGAAGAAAAAAGGTTCAGGATGACAAGGGACACTAAAATCCCCACAAAATCCGACCTTTATGAAAGCTGTAGGTTCTCTGTCAGCTGAGGTTGAGCTGTTTTAATATGCATTGAGTCCTATGGGGAAAATTTCTGGGTAGCCCACGTGAATTTAGTCTGGTTCAGTCTGCAGTACCGCGAGAATCTCCTGAGCACATGGGTTATTCAGCTACAAGCTAGTAATACCCTATCCAGTTATTATAATAGATCCATGGTTTAAACACTGCACTTCCTTATTACTCAAACGTGGTAACTATAATTGTAAATAAAATTGCTATCATACATATATTATTAGCAAACGCTCAGCAATTGCATTCAAACAACATTTTGTTTACTTTTGGCATTTGATGTTCACACTTGCTCAGCTGCTGCAGCATAAATCGTAGAAATTCTGCAGCGCTCTTAAAAGCGCCAAAAGTCCAGTGAAGTTTTGTTGTGGCTTCTAATAAAATAATGCAACAAAACGCATGCAGTGAGGGCCTGTGTGTTGAAATGAGTGAGTACGCTATACCCATCCAAATTTTCTTCAAATACCCACCCTTTTCTTGTGCGCTCATCACTGCCCGATGTCTATTCATAACAAGCTCAGAGCATTAGAATTGGCATAAACTGGTTTTCACACTTCAATTGGTGCGCATAGGTTTACATGCATCAGAGTAAAGTGGCGTAGGTCGAGAATTCAGATTTTGCTTCATCTTTGTAAGGGTTTTTATTTTAGACCTCAGCACTTTTTTCTTGAATGATGTATAACTAATACAAATATTTACCAGGGACTATCTCACCAAGTAAAGTCATCACTTGTGTAAAAGAATACACGCTTTTATAGTGCATGGCATAGCAGCATCATACTCTTTGTTCTTGCAATAGTAGGTATATAGCTTCTTGTGTTGTGTTGATTGCTATTTAGATGAACTGGATCTATAGTGTCTCACCCATGTCCATGTCGTCGTTCATTCGGTCTTTGATCTTTAAGTTGTAGTTTGTGCGGATCAAACACAGAGATGTTCCCTGTGGGGTTGTGTGAGTAACATTCAAGTCTAATCAGATCCTGCTCAGAACAAACGCTGAGTCAGAAAAGACCAAGGGCCTCATTTATAAAGCTCAGGTATGCACGAAGAAGAGCAAGGAAGTTCGTACCGGCTCTTTCACGCAAAGTCTGTCTTTGATGTGATAGACCTCCATGTAAACTTCTAAGTAGAGCGAAACAGAGTTTGCATGTCTGATCCAGAGCTCGACCATGTGCTCAGCCTGGGCAGAGACATTGACTCAGACCCTGCCTCACAAACACACTTTGTGCACCTACAGTATGTACAAAGCTGTGTGAGAATGAACAGCATTTCCGTTAGTTGCGATTTTACTATGTAGAGTCAAACATAATACATCAGTCACTTTGCATTGGACTGTGCATTATTCTCTCATGTTCACACAAATCTCATTATGATATGGTGAAATGGAGGTGTAAAAGAGATGGATGTGAGGCAGATCCTGACTGAATATTTTTGCTTTAGCAACATTGTGAAGTCATATAGTTGTGTTCTTTCCTCACACACTCGTTAAAGTACTTTTTGACACACTCTTCTACAAAGAGTGCCCAGGGCATTGGTTTTTGGACTACAACTAAAGCAGAGAGGGGCTTTTCTCCATGAATAAATATGATTTGCTTTGTTGACCAAAATTTGTTACAACTGAATTTTTAATATCAAATATCCAGTTATTAAATTGGGTTAGTTTAGTACGTGTTTTTTTTTAGAATGTAAATGTAGTTATTTTCCAGTCATTTTTAACACCAAAGGGAGTTTATAAGGACTATACTGACCACAAATTATTGTTTTTGAAATTATTAGTGCAATTCAAAATGGCTAAACAAGACTCTCAGACCCCGACTCGTGTTTCAAATAATATTTTTCACTAGCTTCTACCAGAAGGTGAAAACATGTCTTTAAAGAAAACTGGGTTAACAATAAATAATTACTCTATCAATAGAATTATAGTATGATATGATTGCATATGACATGTGCAAATAACAATGCAGCTTACTATAATAATCACTAAATCCCCAACTGAAAGATCTCAGCTCCTGTGGACTCACCACCTGCAGGAGGATCAGTGAGGGGCTGGTGCTAAGTGTACTGGGTGCAGCTCTGACTGCCACCCCCCTGACCCAGAAATGGATTAAGGGGAAGAAAATGGATGGATGGATGCATATGACATGTGCAAATAACAATGCAGCTTACTATAATAATCACTAAATGTCACAATTCCCCTTTTCTCTTTATTTAAGGTGGTTTCTTCCTCATATCAAAATGGCAGAAACAGATGTATTACATGAGGTAGTTAGAAGGGTTATGCTGATGATGATAGACTGGTGGTGTATAGTATTGCTCCATGAAAAGACTGCATAATGATACTCCCCTCCAGCAGTGGTAACTGTCGCTCTCTCATACTAGCGGTCCTCTCTTCCAGGCTACTTATTTTTTAATTTTCAATAAAAAATTCTGATTAAAAACGTTTTTTCTTGAGGTTTTCTTGTTCATTAACTTTGAAAGTTGAGAAGTAATGCAGAGTCTGGAAAAGAGTGATCTTGGTCTAAACGCGGTGTGGTCCATCTCCTCTTCCATCTTCCTTATACACTGTATCGTGTTCTCACTGACATTGTGTGTTTTTTTCAAGCGGGAATATCCAGGGTTCAGTTGGATCTACTTCAAGGTGAATGCGATAATCATGTTTTTTTTTCATAGAGAAGAACAGTTTGATATGGATTGTGACGTGTGTATGACTGATCTTTTCCCCATTGACTTTCCTGATTTGAATTTCTGGGCAAATAATATATTCAATAATTTCAATAATATATTTCTTATTATGTTTTATTTTTCCTAGGGAAATTTGCCTCCAGACTATCGCATCAGCCTCATCGACATTGGATTGGTCATTGAATATCTGATGGGCGGTGCATATCGCTGCAATTACACCAGGAAGAGGTTCAGAACTCTGTACCACAACCTTTTTGGCCCCAAGAGAGTGAGTGGAATCATAGTAATGAACAGATCGTCCCTAGCTTGTCGCTAGCTTGTTGGTTATATTTCATTACATAACCACATTTGTATGCAGCTGTATCTTTCATACAGATTATTTACCTTCCTCTTCATCACACTGTAAATATATGCGTGAAAACATCTCAAGAAAGCCAACTCATGGCAACAAAAGATCAAACGCACAGACCTGAAGAATGTGAGAGAAAGTCTTGTATGTCTTTAATGCTTTCTTCCACACAGACGCACGTTAACTAAGAACAAAGCCTTGAAATAGATGCAGATATACAAATCCCCATAGGAGGCCTGGGCTATTTTTACAGTCTCAGATGATGTCTCATGAATGCATAATTCATACATGCCCTGCTTTATGATACACACGACAGTACCAGTTGCACAAATGCTCCTCCTAATGCATGCACATATGTGTGCATGCAAACACATTTAAGCACCAAACCATCGACAATGTACACACCAAATACTGCTGGGAGGTTGTGCTTATACCACTGCTGTAAAAATATATATATTCCCTTATGATAGTAAACAGTCCATTTTTAAAGATACCATTGCTCTACAAGTTGTCTATTCTTTTGTCTTCGCAGCCCAAAGCCCTGAAGCTGCTTGGAATGGAGGTAAGGTCTTTTTTGTGTCCTGGTAACACTTTGTAAAAAAAAATATTACTTGTTCATTCAGTCTTTATTTTAACATATAATACATTTTGTTTCTTTACGTATGTGTCAAACACTGTGCATAAAAGTAGTTTCATTAATTTTAATAGTAGTAATATCCATTAACCATACTAATGCATTTTAGACATATCTATTATTCTTACATTGTTTATTCATTAACATAACATATGTATACATTTTGATATCCAGGGCAATATTTTCCTCTATTTAAACATTAAAATGGAAGTCATTGTGTTTCAATACAGTGCCTTGAAACAGTATTCAAATTTCTTCTTGTCACAACTTCAAATTCAATATCAATATTTTTTTCAACTTGTTTTTGTGACAGATAAACACATTTTGGCTGACAATTGAGAAGCGAAAGCAACATTATAAATTATTATAAAAGTTGGCTTGCAAAACAATGTTGCCAATTGCCTTTGATGAATGGTTTAAGGATGACCTATAGTCCACCAAAGAGTAATCTCAGTAATATTCATACTTTTTAAACAGACTCTACATTCATCATTCCCTCTGTGACCCAATCCAATGTTTGCCACATACTGTATTTTTGTTGCGTTTGGATAGGAAAACCTATTTTCATGTCGGCCAAATGGGCTCAGACAGTGACGTAGTCTGCATGCCAGAGTCACTCCGCTCTAGTTGAGTGAATAGGTAACGGCTGACCTAAAGAGACCGCATAATAAATGCTTTGTGTACTCTACATCATAAAGCTTTTATCACAGTGCGACTCCTCAGACCACTGAGGTATTTATATATCAAACATGCACATATATCCGCCCCTCCTGAAAACTAGTTCACTATTTTGTTTGTTGCTGCTGTTTTTGTCTCGTGCCTGATTCTTCACTGTCACTGTTTGCTTAGTGATGTCATTGTTACTATAGTTTACAGTGCCAGAATAAATCATTTCTGTCCACTGTGAAAATATTGTGTTAAGGACAGTGCCTTTGAAATGTGGAACAGCAACATCTTACTCACTACTTATTTTTCTTTGAGGTTTTTTAGTTTGATTTGTGACATGGTGCCGTAAATATGGCAAGAGCTCTGGTGTGTGCTATCTGGTGCACACTTGCACAGTTGCTCCACAGTTTTTCCAATGTGGTTTTACTGCAAATGGCAAATAAATTCTTGAATCTTTTATCTTGAATCTATTTTAAGATCTTAATTTTATATTTTAGTTGTTTTAGAAAAATGTATTAAAAAAATAAAATAAACAAATAAAAACATTTCTAAACATGGTAATCTAGTATTCATGCAGTGTATAGACTGACTACTACAGTATTATCACACAGGAATACACAAAGTAAAATGTAATTTATAGCCTGTATTTGTTTTACATTGCTGCTGTTTAAGAAAACCCATATGTTTCTGTAATGCCTAGCGTACATTGGACTGGCAACTGATTATATCCGTCGCCTTTGAGTTGCTGCCCCGCACACATTGACACTCTTGCGAAATCGGGCAACTCCCAGTAGCAAGCCAGTCTCGGGAATAACAGGAATAATAGTTGACAGCAACTGGCCGTCAACTACAGTGTGTTTTCTGACATAAACTGTAGAGGCCGCGCAATACACACATGTTGTTGGAGCACGCACATGGGGTGATATCTCCGGATCTGAGTACAACTAGTTGCCGAAAAGTAGAACACGAGCAACTGACTGAATCCGGAGATCGACTGTTTATCTCCAGTTGTAAGAGCGCTCACATCGACCGATTTCGGCAACTGATCATCTCCCATAATCTCCTCTCAGTTGCCAAAAGCCGCCTTGCAACTAGTTGTCTCCAGTTAATCTGTCGATGTACGCTAGGCTTAATGCAGTCGGCTACTGTATATTGATGTGTTCATTTCCTTTATCAAGCTTTGTGAATAACTTTGTACCCTTTCGTCGCACTTGAACATATGTGGGGGCTGTTGTATGTCATTTGTTTTCAAACATAGACACTGTGTTTCAGGACGACATGCCCATTCGGAGAGGCCGGCAGAAAACAACACGGAAGCGTGAGGAGGAGGTGGACATCGATTTGGACGACCCGGAGATCAACCACTTCCCCTTCCCCTTCCATGAGCTCATGGTGTGGGCAGTTCTCATGAAGAGACAGAAGATGGCACTCTTCTTTTGGCAGCACGGTGAAGAGGCCATGGCCAAAGCCCTGGTGGCCTGTAAACTGTGCAAAGCCATGGGACATGAGGCGTCTGAGAACGACATGGTGGACGACATCTCACAAGAACTCAACCACAACTCCAGGTGAGATACACAGCCATGTTCCTCTAGTAGTCCTCGTTCAGGGCGTTCACAATTGTTGGTCTGCTTCACTTAAACTGGACTCTTCATGGTCATTATTTGTGGATGTATAACCAGCAAACAAGTGACCATGTGTCCACGAGTCACTTAAGACTCACACATGAGGTATTATGTGGCCCCCTAGTTTTAATACTAATGTAGTAACACCCACACCATTTATTTAACCATAAACACATATAAAATGAACCCTGAGTCCAAAAGGCAGTAAACATTATCATATTCTATTAGTCTACAACACAAAGCCTCATTGCTTTTTGTCAAGTTTTGTTACAATCCAAGCAACTGGACTCATTTTGTTCCTAGAAATATATAAAATTATATCATAAAAGTAATAATCAGTTCAAAATATCTTCATGATTATAAAAAATCAAATACACGAACAATGAACGATAAAACTTTCCACAAACACTTGATTGTTGGTTTTCCTGTTTTTGTCTGTTCTACAATCTCCGACATTTACTTTCTCTACTGCTAATGTCAAAACATGAGATGGTACAGTTTGAAATGCAGCGGTTCATTATATGTATCTAGGAGCTAAACTGTGTGTGCAAATAATAAATAATATATAGTGTAGTAAGCACCAGGGGATGCCCTTTATTGTGGCCCAGCTTCTCCCAGACTCACTACTTTAGACTGTTTACATCTTTTGAAGCGTTTTCCCCAAAGTAAACCAGAACTGGTCCAGATAAATTGAGCCAGACCAACGAGCACATATCAATTCAAGCTTTTACTCCAAACTTCATAAACATATCATCGTTTTCCTGGTCATATAATGATGACAAACTGGTGAACAGACTGAACAAAAATAACCTGGGCACAAAAAACTAAATGTTTGACCTAATTAAAGATAACAGCACTGTGTGATAGTTTTAGCTGAATTCCACACATCCTTAATGTGATGTCTTTTTACTTCAGTCAAAACATAACTTGCGAGAATGAAAATATATTGTAGTGGTGAACACAGAGATTGATAGTCGTTTATTCACAGACGACCAACGCAGAAAAGACAGAGTGACTCTGAAACACATTATAGCAGCGTCATTGTAGCAGTGTAAACCAATCGTTTATCTGCACTAATATGTTATTTGAGTTCTGTTCTGATACAAAACAATGGCCATGGTTCAAGTTTAAGTCAAAATAGTATTTTGAATTGGTGTATGAGCTTTTAACTTTGATCACAGTGTTCCATCGTCTTAGCTTGGGTAAAGCCTTTACTCGGTGTTAAATTTCAGTATTTTCAACATTAAAACACTATTGGAGGTGGATCTTTTTCTTTGTTTTATTGGTGAAAATACAGAAATACAATACAAGTGGACAACATTGTGGATATTTACATGGACGTTGATGCGTATGTGTGATTGTGTGTGGGTGCGAGCGCCTACTTTAGCAGAGGGAAAAATGAATAATATCAATAATGAGGGTGGATCAGTTCTGCAGGATGATGTAAATAAGCTTTTATCTGTGTGTGTGTTATATAGTTTAACCCTTTAGATGCCAGAATTCAGAAAATGGAAATTAAACAGACAAAATGTGGTGCACAAACCTCATAACAAACAAAATGTAGGGAAACGCTAGTGGGAAGCCAGCTCACTGTATAGAAAGTGTTCAGGATACAGGAGCTCACGCCTGAAGGGTTATTACTAAATCTGGTGTCCCAGCATGCGTACATCGTCTCTTAATGAAGAAATTCACCAGATGGCCAGTAATGTCTTAACAAGATATAAGTATGTTTATCCACAGATAATTATGATAATGTTGATAAAGTTCATATTTATAGTGAAACATTGCGGTGCTGCGTGTGTCTCTGCATATGTCCTTTGACAGAGAGTTCGCCCAGCTGGCGGTGGAGCTTCTCGACCAGTCGTATAAACAGGACGAGCAGATGGCCATGAAGCTGTTGACTTACGAGCTGAAAAACTGGAGCAATGCCACGTGTCTGCAACTGGCCGTGGCGGCGAAACACCGAGACTTCATCGCTCACACCTGCAGTCAGATGCTCCTGACCGACATGTGGATGGGACGCCTGCGAATGCGCAAGAACTCAGGCCTGAAGGTAAAGGACGCTTGTCAAGAGTTTTCACTGCCTGAGGGGTGAAGTAAACACAATAAGGACGTTATTCTAAGTATTATTCACTACTAGTGGCTTCTGGAATTGAGGCATTTTGAAAAGCCTAAGACTTGTTGGTCTGGTTCAGTTTGTTTTATAATTTGAAATTTGTTTTATGCGCTTTCTATTTGTGTTTGTAAAAAATATAGACAAATATATGTGACATTGATCTGTAATCAAATCCATGTCACTGGTTTAGTTTGACATTTTTACATGCATGTAGATCAGCTATTTCAGACAGAAAAGTGAAAAAGAGAAGCCCACCCTCACTAAGTGGTATCTCATAAGGATTTTTCATACAAGTAAACAAAATACAACATGTTTTCTATAAAGATGAAGGCAGCATGTTGTGGTCGGATTGTTCACAACATTTTACTTTTACAAGACTCTTTCTGTTGGGGTGTTAAAGTTAGGTACCCTAGCTTTAAGTCAGTTTACAGTTTAAATCAGTTTTATCTTTTGACGCATGTTTTTCCCAAGTGAACCAGTCTTGCCCAGTTTAAGAGATCTCGACCAACCAAGTGTGAACGTGCCGTTAGATAAAGTGCAGTAGATTATTTACACACTTCCCAAACGTTATGCCAGTCTGTCCTTTATTTTATATTCACAATTTGACTTGTTTTCAGTGGCTCTGGGTTAAAGTAAAGCAAACCATAAGGACATTACTCAAAGGATGAGTATTTTTCAGCACGAATGGCTTTTGAAATGACTGTTTTTGAAAAGCTTTGTCCTTCAAGATACCATTGATACAGACTGAAATAAAATCTGCCCCTTTCTCTATGAACAGAAAATGCTCTTGAATATTTGCCGAGTAAATCCTAGAATTGAAATGGTGGTACAAGAACATTTATATGGAAAGACAGGCAAGTGGGAGCGATTGTGGTTAACCTTTTGTCTGTAGACACAGTTACACTCAATACACAATGGGAGTCTGGCTGTATGATCGATTTTCTGCTCTTAGGAGGTCTTATCTCAACATTATCTCTCTACAGTTCAGTCATTTCAAAGCCAAACTTCCACGTCAAATGTCAAACTTCCGCCAATATAATACAGTGACAGCACCTTCAATACAATTACAATACAATGCAATGTATTCTTGTATAGCCCTAAATCACAACAGCAGTCATCTGAGAGGACGGAACAAAACCATTGAAATCACCAACACAGATCAGAGAATCAACAGTTCTGGTTTGTTAAGTTGCATCCTAAATGCTCGATAGCTTTTAGCTGTATCTCTTAGTTACTTTGAAAATAGAGTAGGACCGAACACGTAGAACTCAGTCAGATATCATAGAATATTCCCAATGTTTTTACCCATTTTTAGCAACAATACATCAACTTACTTCAATGTCTTAACAGATTCTAGCTTAACCATGGAAAAATAAATGAAATTGATGTTTAACTGTTATTATTTTGTTGATATGATAACATTGGGACCTGTTTTTGTCCTGAATAGAAAATAGAGACACCTACATGTTGGTCTTATATGTCTTAGGTCTGGCCTCTGCAGGTGAGAGGAGGTGGTATATGTTCTTTGGGGCAGAAATTGTTAACAAACTAGACTCTGCTCCCCCTGGAGTGATGATATACACCTAATAATACTGTCAGGATAATTTGTTTTCTCTAAGCTGCCAGCCTTTTCTGCCACAGTTCCTCCCACAGGAACAGAATGACTGCAGATATTGAGTTAACTTTGTTTGCTCTGACATTAGCTTTGCCTTTGGACGTCCAAATCATAAACGGTAAATAACATGGACAGATTGTGACCTATTCTCCCCATTCAAGTTATGAAATATCACCATGGGTGCTTCCCGAGTAGCCCCTCCCACAGGAAAACCAGAAAAATAGCTTTCTGCATCCCCTCCCCATGCATATGAGACCCCGCTGGATCTGTGTAGCAAAAAATGACAGCCGTTTCCACAATCTTTAAAACTCCATAGGGGGTAAACAGACCTAGTCGGAAACAAACACTCACCATTGGCACGCATCTGTAACTTAGTGCTGAGCCAAGAGCCGTGTTTTCAACCGGGCTCGAGAGCGTTTCTTACTCATGGAATCACGTCAGAATGCAAAGATGTTAGCCAACCGCTCCCACTTGTTTTCTTTATATATAATGAATAGAATGTTCAGGATGATAACAGTAATAATAATATGGATAGCAATGATTGGTGAGATTCCACAAAAATCATTACAATATCCTATAAAGCAGGGGTGTCAAATAGGGATGTAAATCGGTGACCATTTAACTGGTGGTTGACCGTCACAGCGTTAACCGGTCAAAGCTGTCGGTTAAAAAAAAAGAAAAGAGGGAGGAGGAGGTCTCTTAATAACGTTATTTTAAGCCCTATTTGCACGGTGTGGCGAGCGGGTCTGTCTCTAGCTGTGTGCGCCAATGTATTATAAACTCCGGGCCGACTCTCATGCCGTGTGCACACACACACACACACTTTCCCCCCTCCATTGATACGTAACATCCACACGCATCATCTCTCCCCTCTGTCCGCCAAAGTTGCACACTAGCGCGGTTAGAACTACATTGGAGCTTACATTTACACACACATACATACATATACACACACACATACCGGTCTGTCGCGCTCCTCTGTGTCACGCAACCCAAAGTATCCAAATACGCGGCTCCAGTCAAATCACATGGAACATGTTTGTGCTGCTGGTCCTTGGCATTAGATCAGCTCCACACACATCACTTTATTTAAACTTTAGCGGAGACCTGCGAGATTCGGCTCGTCACTCGCTGCTCTGACCATGTGAACGAGCCGTTGTTTGCTGCTAAAAACTGTTAACCAGCAGCACAGAAGTATGGAAAGATTAAAAAAGCAGTTCTCTGTGCGCAAAGGTACCAAAGTTGTTGCGGGTTTTGGCGCCGCTGTCTCCGCTCTGATCAAGTAGAACGCAGAGCTGCACTTATGAAAAGTATGCGGCTCGAAATGGCTGTTATTTCAAAGAACGTGGAATATTTTTAACTACGCGGTTAACCGGTTTCAACCGGTTAATGAGGCTCGGTGGTCGGTCATGAAAATTCATAGTTATTTACATCCCTAGTGTCAAACTCATTTTGGTTGGAGGCAAGATTCTTAAAACAGTAGCTCCCCGGGCTGAGAGAAAAAATCTGTTTGAAGCTCATCTTTGCATCTGTGGATATTTCATATGCATTATTAGTTTGGATATAGATTTTTAAGAGCAGAACTAGTTTACTTTATGTTGACCAATGATTTATAATTTTGATTTTATGATTACGTATTGAGTTAAAAGTTTAAGTATATGTTTAATAATTATAATTTTAAATCATTTCAGGAGCCACTGAAAATAGTCTGTTTGACACCCGTGCTATATAGACGTATATTTCATTTATTTATTTAGAGGATAAGCCCCTTGAGCCTCGGGGGTCTTGTATAGGAACAAGACACCCGGAGTGTATTGCTCTCTTTCCTATATATTGCTCTCTGTCTCTGAATGGAATCTTTATGGAACCACAAATATGAGACTCACTCATGATTCCATAGGCAAATGGAACTTGGGAAAACACAGCCACATATAAAAAATACCTCTAATTGTTCACTACTCTTGTGTGACTATTTATTATCACCCAATTTGAATGGCTCTTTAACCATAAAGTAATATAAAGTAAAAAATTGAGCGTCTCTAGGCTTGTCAGAAACAGAGCGCAGCTGCTTGTTGAGATAAGGCCACTCTAAGGAGCACAGCACTCCATCCTTTTCTTTCTTCTTGCTCATGGAGGTAGCGTTGTGGCCTGTGTAACTATAATGTATGTGAAGTGTTTACTGCACACGTGTCCCTTTTATCTGCTGCAGCTGTGTGCCCCTTTCGCACTAATGCTTTTATAATGGACTTTTTCTCAAACTATCTCTGATTTGTCACAAGAACGGCAATTATGTTTAATCTGTCTGTGCAAGCCAAATCCATAATGACCACAATTATCAAGTTGTTATGTCAGGTCTGCAGGTGAGCTGTTTGGCATCGTAGTACACTTGCTGACACATTTTGGACTTCAATATAATTACAACCTTAAATTAAAACAATAAAAGCAGCATTTTTCTTAACATATTTGCCTATTACCTGAGTTTAGGGGTTCTAGGAGTATGAGACTTTAGCTGGGAGGACAAAAGGACAGAATCAACGGCTCTAGTTAACCATTATCTATTGGGTACATCCCAGGTTCACATCCTCCTCTGAATGATAGCACTGCAGGACAACAACTTAACTGCAGTGCAAATGGAGTTTTAATGATGCTCTGATTGGTTGGATATTTGCCATATTTTACTGGTTAAGCAGGGAATGATTGTGATGCCATGAATGAACAGGCATTTGTGGCCTAATAGACCCATCAGCTGATTAGATTATTCACACTGGGGTTTTGATATCCTTAAGTATAAAATACACTGTAAAACACGTAATGAAGTCTTCATTATATTTCTACATATTAAATTACAACTAAAATAGTAGTAATTGTTTGACTGAAGAAATGCAAAACATTTCATATTGATGGTATGAGGTTAATATTAAACCATGATATGTTATACACCATTGTAAAGCCTATTTTACAACCATTAAACGGAAATAGCTATTTCTCATAGTTCTTTCAAAACAAATTCTCTGTATATATAATCAGTCTGCATTAACAATCTTTCCATACGCTTGGGCCAGTTTTGGTTCAATCCAAAAGTAACTGACTTGTTCTGAGATTTTTTCAATCACTACCATAATGCAAAAAGTAGAACATTTACAACAATCACATATGCCAAACAAATTTGATCTTTAAAAAAAGAAAAAAACCAAATACTTTGAAAACGTTTGACCACCAGCCCAGAGTGAATTCGATACCCCTTGCAGGGTTGATTGTGAAATATTGTACTATATCAGTATCAATGTAAGTGAACTGGACAATCTGCATTTGTTATGTCTTTATTCTGCACTACTAACACCTTATAATATATTGTAAACAAGGTCATACTGGGACTGCTTCTGCCTCCCTCCATCTTGAGCCTGGAGTTCAAGAACAAGGATGAGATGTCCTACATGCCTCAGGAACAGGAAGCGTATCTGCAGGAGAAAGAGGAGGAGGAACCAGAGAAGCCTGTGAAGGAGAAGGAGGAGGAAGACATGGAGTTCACAGTAAGATCTTACTGTGAGACGCAGTACAACTCCGTGGTGAGAGAACCCACCCTCTTATGGCAATAATCACTTTCCAAACATTTGCGGATTTGACTAACACTTTGTGGGCCAAATGTTTTATGTTGTTTGTGTCCACAGTGAGACAGAACACTCACATTAATACTTTATTTTATACACAAGCGCACACATGTGTTCACGTTGGCCATCTGGGCATCTCCAGTCAATAGGCCTTTCCTGTCCCCTGTCACTGTAGCAGAGACATCGGTGTGGAGTTGTAGCGTCTCGTAGTCTGTCGCCGCCTGTTGGTTTCCCTCCTGTTTGTCTCTCCCCCCTATGGCTTTTGTCCCTATTGTTCCTTACCCCATTCCAGCCTGTTCTCTCAAACTTCCCCCCAATCCTCTCTCACTCTCTCTTTGTAAGCTCACTACTGATTGAGGTACAGTACTGAATGCCCAGCCGATTGCTGCCCTCACATTCTCCCATCAGTGCCTCATACACTGATGGCTTTGCTGCAGCATACCACTCAGCATGAAGGCCATGAGCATGGGACGCTTAGGCTTGTGCATTATATAACCATGTCCGCCTGCTGCAGAGCTTAAATCATGCAGAGTCGGAGCACCTTCTTCCAGCTCGCCCCATGAGCTGGGACTAGTCATTCTGCATAGAAGTACAGCAGGACTAGGACACATTCCATTTCATTCAATCAATTTTTGAAGAAGACACTTGAATCCAGTGTTGGTTTTAATGCAATTTCACCAAACAAACAGGATACAAGGTTGTCCCTTTAATTGATTGAATTGAGATTGAATGCCCTTCAGCACCACATACTCTTCATCCGCATTGAGTGCAGCCAGCAAGCCAAGCACAGACTCACACAATGGGCCATTTTACACATGTAGTCCTTTAGGTTCACTGCTGGCTGCTGCCGGAGGATACATTTGAGATGAGCCCTGTCATGTTCTGGCTTGTAGCTGCACAAATGCACTTGCAGGTACACAAGTCTCACTAAAATCACGCTCAGAGGGAGGCTGCCCAGCCTTCAGTGATGAAAAAGTGCACAATTACTGTGCAATAACTATTGATTCACAGACAGTTACAATACAACACTCACTTGCCCAACACTATTTATATTTATATATACATTAAAAAATCATTTCAATAGAAATGCCCCCCCTCTAAACAAGGGTGTCTTTGATCTACAACCATGATCATACAAAGGGTTATTTCAAGCTTCTCATGGAAAAAAACATGTGTTCCATTAGATTCCAAATATCTGTGTCGGTCTTTTCCTTTCCTCCTTCTGTCAGTCTGTCCATCCTGCCTCTAAACTCTTGTCTGAGAACTAATCCATGAGCGTCTATGTCCACATCATCTGTTACAACCTCCACCTCACACACACATTTTAACATTTCGGAATGATGCCTGTGCTTGCTTTTTATTATGACACAAGGACCATGTTGTACCCTGCAATTTAATAATCACCACCTTTCACTTCTGTTTTCTTTTCTCCCTCTACATTTTTGCATCTGCAAATCACCCACTGCTGCATTGTTGAATCGGGCTATCTTCGCCTGCCTGCATCTCATCCTTGGCCTCTACATTTCTGCTCTGGGGTGCCCCCTCTGCCCCAGGCCATGTTGGGTAAAGTGTCCACAGAGACCGCCAGGAAGAAAGACGTAGTGGAGGTGCAGAGCCGCCATCGCCTCATTCCTATGGGACGAAAGATCTATGAGTTCTACAACGCTCCAATAGTCAAGTTCTGGTTTCATACGGTCAGTAAAATTCATTATTAGCTTAGATTTAACAATGATGATTATAGAACAAAATTACAACAATCAGTTTGAAATACCAATGGCAACAGGAATTACCGAGTTCTGCTTCTTGAAGAGGCATAGAAGTAGATCTGCGGCCAGATGGGAACATGTTAAATATTATGTTGCATTCTGTTTACAATCACAATCATTTACAGAATTGAAAAAATACAAACGTATGTGAGTATGTGCTAGGTTTTAGCAAAAGAGCACACAGTAGCTGGACAGGTTGATGGGAATACAACCATAAAACCTTGAGCAAATCCACTTCTGGCCTCTAGCGTGTACTCTGTGTTTGCCCTGAGATTACAAGGCCCTTTACATCAGCCAGTAGATTCATTTCTTATGTTTGTGTATTCTAAGCCTGTGTAATATTTGGTTTAAACTGATCTGTTATTCTCTAGCCTTGTATTGGACAGCCTCAAAATGCTTGCTTAGAGAAACATCTTGTTTGATCACCGGGAGGAATTTTTCAGTTTGTTTATGCTGAGAAAATATTTTCTCTGCTTTTGTTTCATCGCTTCTCTGGCTATTTACTGCTCCCCTCCTGTTTGTTCTCCTCTGCGCCCTCCAGGTTAAAGGGAAACATTCAGCTGTGAATTTCATTACAAAGCTCTCTGAAGACATTGTGGATTTTCTCTGGGTCAAAATATGAGCTTTACCTCATTAGCAGATTAGCATGTATTTGCCGCACACCGTTAGATCAGTGGCGTTCTTGTTGTAGTGTCAGATACTGTGCGTGTACGCTAACGCGCTCTTTTGTGTTTTGTTGTTAGCAATTCTTTATAAACATCTCTCTTCTAATGCTTGGAGATTCTATCTTCTTGTCAAAGCCTCTGCCCAACTAAGCAGTGCAGGGCCTGGATAGATGGAAGACTGCTCAGGCCTTAATTCTGTACTTATCACAATAACAGTAACACACTTAGTTTGTAGAATGTGTGAATTATTAGTGGTGAGTGGGACAGATTGCTCAGATATCCACCACCATTAAATCATGTACAATAGATTTGAATATAGTAAGTGAGTGAAAGGATGGTGCTGGTCGAAGGCTCTGGTGCGCCAGTGTTTGGCATCTCACTTCACATGTGTGGAGTGAAGCAACAACATTTGTAAAGCGCTTTGTGTGACCCTGATCTCTGAAACGCACTGTAAATAAAGCTTACTTTAATGTTTCTGTCAGTCTACACTTATGGTCTCTCAGGCTACAGTGTTATAACACCACCTGACTACCATGTAGTGAGTTAATAAATAATACAATGTAAAGTGTGTCCAAATATAGCACATAAAAGTTAGATGCCAAATTATTATTATTATTATTATTAACAATAATAATAATGATGTGACAAACATTAGAGATGTTTTTTTTTACTTACAGTTACACAATTATAAATAATGACAAACATCCACAGCATGTATAATACCTCAGCTTTATTCGCTCTAAGATAGCCTGACATACCTGAATATTGATGTGATGTGTAGATTGTGCAGTCTTCCTCTCACCTTTGTTTTTAATCTTGTGATGGTTTTGATTAATTCCATTCCCACTGAGGTGAAATGTGCAGGCTGCTGACATTTATGTCAAGAGGAAACCAGGCTTTACATACCTGTTCAAATTATATCTCTATATCTATTCTCCTAACAATTAGATTTTATGAAAAGTAAGGTACGAGATTGGTAGATTGATAGATAAATGTGGTTCTTGAAAATACCAACACAATGATTGTCACTCAATAACAACTAGAATATTTAGATACTGTAGTAACACAAGGATATAATGTATATTTTTTTCTTCAGCTTAAGCCAACAAAGCTTAATTTTCTTTTTGTTCACTGCAGTTGGCGTATGTGGGCTACCTTATGCTGTTCAACTATATAGTCCTGGTTAAAATGGATCTGTGGCCATCAGCTCAGGAGTGGATTGTCATCGCCTACATCTTCACCAACGGCATTGAGAAAATGAGAGAGGTACAGTAAAGCCTGGTTCAAGGCAAACATCCATAATCAATAGTCCATAACAACACTATGTGAAACACATATACTCCTGGGTATGTGTTGTGTATAAAACTGAATACATTAGGTACATATATAGGATCTGTGGAAGCTAGAGACATTAGATTTGGCTGTAGGGTTGTGGCAAACAATACTAAAATCAGAAAAACTGTTATTTTCGTAATGCATGTGTATCAAGGCCATTAATCATAGTGTCAGATGCATTCTTTGCTGCACAACAACGCTTTCTGTGATATCCACTGGAAACCCTTTTAGATGAACTCCTACTGCCCTCTAATGGCAGGCTTGAAACATTGTCTCATTCATTCTAATGCTTTTGCAGATTTTGATGTCTGAGCCAGGGAAGTTGTTGCAGAAAGTGAAGGTGTGGTTGCAGGAGTACTGGAACATCACAGACCTTATGGCCATCCTCATATTCTCTGTGGGGATGGTCCTAAGACTCCAGGAGCCGCCGTTCATGAGCTACGGCCGCGTCATCTACTGTGTGAATATTATCTACTGGTACATCCGCCTGCTCGACATTTTTGGGGTCAACAAGTATCTGGGTCCTTACGTCATGATGATTGGAAAGATGGTGAGAAACGTGCCATTTAAATGTCTATTTTTAATTGTTCTGTTTTTCCCATTTCAGTAAAACTTAGTTAGGCTGAATTTATTTGATATTTCAGCTCATATGCCAAGCTTTCACTTGTATTTTTTGTGAACAATATTCGGTAATATTTATAATGGCACTTCCTGGTTGGAAATAAGCCACAGAAAAGACAACAATTAGTTATGATTCAGTACTAAAACTTGTATTGAAACTACTAATTTGAGAGATACTGAAATACTGGAGAAAAAAAGACAAAAAAATGTGCAATCCATGTTTTTATAACTCCCAAAACAGTTTTAGATCCTTCACCAATACACTACTTTTCATATGCATATATTAAAGGCTTTTGTCACATTAGAACTCGTTAGACTAGGATAGGACCACCCTCACTCAACCAATCAGCTCTCAGCTCTCATGTAAAATGTTATTCTCATGAGAAAAATACAGTATGTTGTGGTCCGATTAGTTCACAAAATGCTACTTAGATAAGACTCTATTGGGACAAACAACATGTATTTATGAAACAAACAACAAAAATCTCGCTTTAAAAAATGAGAATATTCTTGTTTTTTGTACAAACGCTGAGTCCTGAAACAAGTCGGTCAGCGCAGACACGTATTTCTATGGTTATAAATCGTGAATCCTCATCTCTTGGCTTTTCACGGTTAACTAGGCTAGAAATAGATTTGTGATTTCTTTTTTGGATTCCTTCTGTCTTTTTCACCCCCTTGTCCTCAGATGATTGACATGATGTACTTCGTGATCATAATGCTGGTGGTGCTCATGAGCTTTGGTGTGGCACGACAAGCCATTCTCAACCCAAATGAAGATCCATCCTGGATGCTGGCGAGAAACATTTTCTTTATGCCTTACTGGATGATTTATGGAGAAGTGTTTGCTGACGAGATAGATCGTAAGTTTGACCAAGAAATGTTCCACCAAAATAGACAATCATTGACAATACTTTTTAACATACATAAACAATTCCATAGGCAGTTGTGTTGTATTTACATTGAGTAAACCATTATGTTGTGTCTTGGTATTAGTTCAATGTAGGTGTATGTTGTTATTTTTGCACAGCAGCTTGTTTATAATACAATACGCAGTACGAGGAGTGGCCCAAAGAGAAGAGATCTGAAATAATGTTTTCATTCTTTGTTTCAGATATGCATAGTAGGAAGTTTCAGCAAAGGCACAATGAAAAACTCTGGTCTGGTCTTAGTAACTTACGAACTGGAAGCTGGCGCATTAGTGGTCCATCCCAGTTTGGCCATAGCAGTCATACTCCCCGTAAATCAGTAACTGAGATTAAGTGCATCCACGACCCCCATCTCTCCTCTCATGAACTTGTCATGCCCACTCTTAACACAGGGGCTACTTGATGCCCAAGTGTGCATGCAGCTTCATCTTACTAAAGATTTTAGGATAAAGTTGCTCGCCCTCATTTGGTATCTTGCGTCAGCTGCTGCATCTTCTGTTTAAAAAATACAGAAGCTAGAAGCTATTTGCTATATCACTTTTTGTATCAAAACATGAGTAGCCTGATTAAGTTCATACCAATAAGCAACTTTACCCTCATCAGTTTTGACATTGTTTGCTCAATAACACTGTGAACATGGCAGCAGCATTTTCAATGCAATCATATATTTTTTGCTATTTTTGTTCCAAAAAAGGATAAACCTGATTTGGAGAAATAGCTATGCCATGTGGACAATGTTTCATAAAACTATCACTGTTCCCTTAGTGGTCAGACTGTCACATGATACCTAGACATGAAGCAACATGGACATGCAAAAACATACTGCCACATTCATCAGGAAATCTGTTTTTTCATGTGGTTCAGTTGTCAGAGTTTTATTTATAAACAATAATAACAGGGAATTATTTCATTTCTCTTTCCTTGGGCTGCATTGTGTAGATAAAATTTGAACATGTGCATGAAACTATTGCATTTAAAAGGAAACAACCAAAGACAAATATACATTGACTTTCATTAAGCTTCAGCAACTGAACCATCACAGATGGAAAAAACATACAACATATGAGAATGACATTTCACACAACTCAACCACGCCTGGACTTGGCTTTGGTGCAAATTAGTGTCAATATATTTAAAACATCCGAGATGTTTAAATATATTGTAAACACAACTGTGGATGAATGTGTCTTATGTGTATTATAATTTATTATTCATTTAAAGTGAAAGTTGCTATTTCAGCCACTTTTAAAAGAAGCATTTTACAAGTGCTTCATTGTCTTTTCTTTTGTGAATAACAGTGACATTGTTTGTCTATTAGGATGTTTGAGTGACATCGATTAACCAGCGTGTGCGTGTGGTGATGTTTGTTGTCATATCACTCATTGTTGTGCCATAATTTAGCTTTTACTTTGTAGGGATACAACCAGTTGTTTTAGACCTTTTAGTAATCTCTGTATATTTTTTGTGTGTTAAAAAACAGCGCCCTGTGGTCAAAATGTCACCACTGGAGATGGAGTAGTGGTTACGCTGCCTCCTTGTAAAACGGGGGCTTGGATTGTACCTGCCATTATGGCTTGCTATCTGTTGGTAGCAAACATACTTCTGGTCAACCTTCTCATAGCAGTGTTCAAGTATGTCACTCCTTTTTATGTAATCATGTAGTTGTAGCTTCATAATCAGAGTTGCATTTATTTGTTTTTATGTTGTTGCAGTAACACGTTCTTTGAGGTGAAGTCTATCTCTAATCAGGTGTGGAAGTTCCAGAGATACCAGCTCATCATGACCTTCCATGAACGCCCAGTTCTTCCTCCACCCCTCATCATCTTCAGTCACATCACCATGGTCCTCAAGCACCTGTGCTGTCGCTGGCGGAAGCATGATGATGATGAAAGGGACTATGGATTGAGTGAGTGATGTAGTTATTACATCAAGCAGTTCACATTAGACTAATTAAATCAAATAACTGAGTTTACAGTGAACCAAGTCAGCTCAAACTATGGCTGTATTCTCAGCCATAGCCATATCATTCCCGGCAGTCAGACCTGTTCCCAGTGCATGTTGCCCCCCGCCAAGGCTGCCCTTCTTCACTGCTTTTGTTTACTTTTTTGTACAGATTTTTTTTGGGGCAGCCAGGGCCGGATGAACAATGGTTTGGGGACCAGAGGATTAAATCTCTGGGATGGTGCTTGGTCCAAATCAGAGGCCATGGTGCTCAACGGGAAAAAGGTGTTGTATCCTCTCTAGCTGAAGAGGGGTTTCTCAAGTGGAGGAGTTCAAGTAGCTCATGGTCTAGTTCATGAGTGAGGGAAAGATGGAGCATGAGATTGACGCAGTCGCTTTTTTCAGACTGTTGTGGTGAAGACGGCGCTGAGTCCAAAAGCAAAGAATGATGCATTTATTGCTCAGTCTACACTACCACGCTCACCTATGGCCATGAGCTTTTGGTAATGACCGAAAAACAAAATTGCAGATACAAGCGGTCAAAATGAGTTTCCCCCGTAGGGTGGCCGGGCATTCTCTCGGCCACAGCTTGGAGCTTGGAGTAGAGCCGCTGCTTATCCACATCACATCAAGAGGGGTCAGTTGAGGTGGCCCTGGCATCTGGTTTGGATTGTGTGGATAGGGAAGTCTGGGCATCTCTGATCAATCAGACTGCTGCCCCACGTTGCCAAGTCGTGGCGACAAAAAATTATAATTTTTAAAGTATTTGGCCCCCTTGAACCTTTCAACATTTTGCCACATTTCAGGCTTCAAACATAAAGATACAAAAATTAAATGTATTGTCAAGAATCAACAACAAGTGGGACACAATCGTGAAGTGGAACAAAATTTATTGGATAATTTAAACTTTTTTAACAAATAAAAAACTGAAAAGTGGGGAGTGCAATATTATTCGGCCCCCTTGCGCTAATACTTTGTAGCGCCACCTTTTGCTGCAATTACAGCTGCAAGTCGCTTGGGGTATGTCTCTATCAGTTTTGCACATCGAGAGACTGGAATTCTTGCCAATTCTTCCTTGCAAAACAGCTCGAGCTCAGTGAGGTTGGATGGAGAGCGTTTGTGAACAGCAGTCTTCAGCTCTTTCCACAGATTCTCGATTGGATTCAGGTCTTGACTTTGACTTGGCCATTCTAACACCTGGATACGTCTATTTGTGAACCATTCCATTGTAGATTTGGCTTTATGTTTTGGATCATTGTCCTGTTGGAAGATAAATATCCGTCCCAGTCTCAGGATCTTTTGCAGACTCCAACAGGTTTTCTTCCAGAATGGTCCTGTATTTGGCTCCATCCATCTTCCCATCAATTTTAGCCATCTTCCCTGTCCCTGCTGAAGAAAAGCAGGCCCAAACCATGATGCTGCCACCACCATGTTTGACAGTGGGGATGGTGTGTTCAGGGTGATGAGCTGTGTTGCTTTTACGCCAAACATATTGTTTTGCATTGTGGCCAAAAAGTTTGATTTTGGTTTCATCTGACCAGAGCACCTTCTTCCACATGTTTGGTGTGTCTCAGAGGCAGTGATGGGAATAACGGCGTTACTAGTAACGGCGTTACTAACGCCGTTACTTTTTTCAGTAACGAGTAATCTAACTAATTACTTTGACTGTAACTATAACGCCGTTAGCATTTCCGACATCCCGTTACTGCGCGTTACTCAAGACGCACAATGAATTTCTCTTTTTACTTCGTGATAGGACTCGTGCGCGTGTTGTCATGAGAGAAGGGAGGATGAGAAACCCTCTCAGATGTTATTGGCTGATGTAAAACATATTTCCTTTACAATCTACATGTCTACAGTTGAGAGGATTGCTCATAAATTGTGTTTTTGAAACAAATATGGGTCTTAATCACACTCTACCACGGCTTGTATCACCGTGAGGCCAGCCTCAGAGGAGCTCATGTGAGCGCAGAAGTCGGCTGCATACAATTCCATCGATAAGCTCCTTTCTCCTCCTGGTTTATCTGCTAAGGACAGCAACAGGTTTGGCTAACATACATATAACACATTTAAGATCATTTAAAATGCACTTAGGGTAATTTTTCAATGACTATAGGAATGATAAGAAAGAGAGGTGAAGTGTAAGACGGTTGATTTTAGAAATCGGATGCACCCGGCTGCAGCAAAACAGAGGAGTTTATGGAAGACACACGCGTTTTGTTTTGCTTTTTAAAACTCATTGGACTCATTTCCAAATGGAGGATTACATATCTACGCTCAAACTATTATCTGGACTTAAACATGGAACTGGTCTGAAGCGAAGTGGTCTATGCAGGTCATTTATAAGGTATAGCTATAAGGTAAGACCCAACTCATAGTTTTGCGTTTTGTATGAACAAACAATGCGGGCATGAAACGTATTCTGCTGTAGCCAAACAAATAAGCCGCTCTCTAGGTCCAGTTGATTTCTATGATATATATGTTCATCTGATTGGGCTGAAGTCAGTGCTTCACCAGTGTTTCCACATTCACAGTGGCGGGTGTTGGTGTTTAGTGCTTACAGCACAGAGAGAGATGAAGAGTGAACAGGACTTCAGCAGCAAAACAGCCTTTTCTAGATGGAAATATTGGCACTATTTCAGACTCACTGAGGTTAAAGGTAAAAATGCGCACGTCGAGTGCACATTATGTTCTATAACATAACAAAACGAAAAAGTAACGCAATAGTTACTTTTACTGGTAACTAGTTACTTTTATAGTGGAGTAACTCCGTTAGTAACTCAGTTACTTTTTGGGAGAAGTAACTAGTAACTATAACTAATTACTTTTTCAAAGTAACGTGCCCAACACTGCTCAGAGGTGGCTTGTGGCAAACTTTAAATGAGACTTTTTATGGATATCTTTGAGAAATGGCTTTCTTCTTGCCACTCTTCCATAAAGGCCAGATTTGTGCAGTGCACGACTGATTGTTGTCCTATGGACAGACTCTCCCACCTCAGCTGTAGTTATCTGCAGTTCATCCAGAGTGATCATGGGCCTCTTGGCTCCATCTCTGATCAGTCTTCTCCTTGTTTGACATGAAAGTTTGGAGGAACGGCCGGTTCTTGGTAGATTTGCAGTGGTCTGATACTCTTTCCATTTCAATATAATTGCTTGCACAGTGCTCCTTGAGATGTTTAACGCTTTTTGTATCCAAATCCGGCTTTAAACTTCTCCACAACAGTATCTCGGACCTGCCTGGTGTGTTCCTTTGTCTTCATGGTTCTCTCTGCGCTTTAAACAGAACCCTGAGACTATCAAAGAGCAGGTGCATTTATACGGAGACTTGATTACACACAGGTGCATTCTATTTATTATCATCATCAGTCATTTAGGACAACATTGGATCATTCAAAGATCCTCACTGAACTTCTGGAGTGAGTTTGCTGCACTGAAAGTAAAGGGGCCCAATAATATTGCACGCCCCACTTTTCATTTTTTTATTTGTTAAAAAGGTTTAAATTATCCAAATAAATTTTGTTCCACTTCACGATTGTGTCCCACTTGTTGTTGATTCATGACAAAAAAATTTAATTTTATATCTTTATGTTTGAAGCTTGAAATGTGGTGAAATGTTGAAAGGTTCAAGACTTCAATACTTTCGCAAGGCACTGTATTTTGCACATGATGTTTTTTTTATTGGAGAGGGCTATTTGTTTTCACTGGATGTCCCTTTTTAAATGTGCAGCACATTTTTCACTGCGACAGAGCCATGCATTTCAATGTCATAATGCAGAGAGGACTGAGCGCTGGTTTGAGTGGTAGAAAGCAACGTGAGGGAGCTCTGGAGTCCAGGGGCCAGGACACAGTCGTGCAGAGAGAGAGGCTTTATTTTGAACTATTTTTGAATACTTTGAAGGTATTTTGATCAAAGACTTATCATTTATTTTCTGGTAGATTTTTCTGACCAAAATCACTAACGGGAAAGGAAAAAAACAGAAAGAACGCTTTTTACACTGAGAGGAGTCATTTTAGTTCCATGTGTAGGAAACAGAGGTTGTTTTCCTAAATAAAAAATGATTTGCTGTTTGCAAATAAAGAGCTTTATTACCATACAGCGCCAAGTTCTTTTTCTTTTGTGGGGCCACTATAACTTTGGGCACCCCTGTTGCAGACTTTTAGAGCAGTTTCCAATAACTTTTTTCGATGTGATTTACCATCAGAGCTTTTCATCACTGAGGACGAGCTGAAGAAAGTACATGACTTTGAAGAACAGTGCATTGAAGAGTATTTCAGAGAGAAGGATGACCACTTCCACTCGTCTAATGATGAACGCATCAGAGTCACCTCTGAAAGGTGCCCTTCTTAAAACCTCTAATGTGCAAATTCTTTCTTTACTCTGCAATTTTGGTATTTACATTTATATTTGATTACCCTTTCTTTTGCCTTGTTAGAGTGGAGAATATGGCAATGCGTCTAGAAGAAGTCAATGAAAGGGAACACTTTATGAAAGCCTCTCTTCAGACAGTGGACATCCGCTTGGCTCAGATGGAAGAGCTGATCGGACGCATCACTGTAGCTCTAGAGAGAGTGACAGGTGTAGAGCGTGGGGAGGTGAACAAAGTGCGCTCCCGAACTTCTTCTGACTGCACTGACTCGGCATACATGATGCGCCAGGGGGAGTGTCCTGACCCCTCATACATTCTACGCCAAAGCAGCTTCAATAGTACAGAGGGCAACACATACCGCCTCCCTGAGGAACTGGAGGGAGCCATGGGATCCATGTCCCCCCCTTCTCCCACCACCATCGCCACCCGTGTCAGGAGCCACTCATTCTATGTGGGTGGAGCTCGTGTAGCGGAGCGACCAAGTGGAGCAGAGCGAGCAGAGAGGTTCTTCAAAGAGCGCTCCCTCAGTCTGCACCGTGCCAACAGCTCACAGTCTGTGTCTTCAGCTGCCGCCCCCAAGGAATCTAAGCCCCTCCCACTGGCTACGCTGGCAGTCTCCCAGCAGCACCGTCCATCTTCATGCATAGACATCTATGTGTCCACATCTGAGGAGGTGGATCCTGCAGAGGTCTTCTTGGATCCTCTCCGTGTGTGCCCACCACTCTATCGGGGCCTGTCCCTGCAGTCTGATGCTGTGGAGATGGTGCTGCCGGGAGGCCGGCACTACTGCAGCGCTACGACCAGCGGATTGGGCGACAGGCCTTCGGAGGGTGGCGCTGGAGCCATGTATGATGACAGCGCAGCTGCAGATCTATCTCTCAGCTCTGCGCACCTCTTACCAGACACAAGCTTACCTCCCTGGGACACAGAGCCGTCACCTCCACCTTCTGCTGGACTCCTGGAGCGCTCCAAGAGCAGCCGCTACCTCTCCACTGTCGGCACCTCTTTGCTGGATGAACCCTCTCTTGTGAAGTCCCACAGCCTTGTGTTCACGCCACGAGGATGCTACGGAGGACTGGGACCGGGCGTTCAGGTCAAAGCTGCAGAGTACACCAGCATCACGGACTGTATTGACACACGCTTTGTGTCTACCCCCTACACGCCTGTAGAGCGCTCCAGCTCCCCTGGGGCCTCCACCTCTTTCCCTTTTGATAAGCCACCTGAGATTATTCCATCTCACCCAGAGAGAGAGGCTGAGCTGAGCCATACAGAGTCCGATCCTGAAGACCCAGATGAGTTGATATCAGCCCCAGACACACCCTTTGTGGGCTTTAGTGGCCCGAGTGGAGCCCCCCTCTGCACCCCTTACTCGAGGCTGGAGCGTGCAAACAGCTGCTCCTCAGATGACTCCCATCCTTCGCTCACACTGGCTCCTCCACACAGGAAGAGCCTGTCGGTGAGTGAACGGATGGAGAGAGGGCCGACTCTGGGGGCAGACAGGGGGGCTGTGGTCGGGCCTGTGTCTGGGGGTCGCGGTCTGGCAGGATCCAGAAACCCTTTCCTCAGGAGCAAGCCTGGCTCTCGGCCTGAAGCAGCTAAAACTGACAGCCTCTCCATGAGAAAGCTGGCTCATCCCACAGCCTTCCGCAGCTTTGATAGACAGAACTACACATGACATGATGTGAGAGGGCCGCGGAGGACAAGTCCGTAAGTACAAGTTACCACAGGGTGAAAACCACTCTTTTGTTCTGAAAGAGGTCTAGAGTTAACCCTGCATCAAGAGCAGATAATGGAAGAGTCAGGGTCCTAGTGTTTGCTACAACAATGAGCTATGACTCTAGATTAGTCTGTACCTCCTCTTGAAGATAAAGCCTCTCAGTGGTGACATGGCAATAGAAGGTGTACCTGTACTGTGTCTTCCTTTCGCCACTTTTCCATTCATCAAGTAGACAATTTGTTCATGAAAAATCACCTCTTGTAATCACTTCATATAGATTTGTAACTTCTTGGCACGTACAAAATGCTGTATGGTCAACATAAACAGGACAATATTCTTTGTCCCAGCACTGTCTGGTTGGTTTGATGAACATCTCTAATCACAAACGTACAACAACTTACCTCGGCACATACTTTTTAAAAACCCATATTGCTTGTGGATGACTGCTATCTTGCTTAAACGGTTTGGAGGTTTGTGGAGGATAATTTAGGTCCGGTGTGGAAGCTACTGTTTTATTATGTTCATTAGAACCTAAAATAATTACTTTGTCTATTTTTTATTTTATATTCATTTCACAATATAAACAGCAGTGATTAAGATGCATGCATCCTGTGATGCCAGAGCTTTAATAAGTGCAATTGTTAAAAGAGCACCATAGGGCGCCGTAGTTGCAACAATTGCCACTGGTGAACTTGATGTGACTCATAGTCTGCGCGAGACACCAAAACCTTTGCCTCCAGTCGTCTTTCATAGTTTATTTACCAGGTCGCTGCATATCAGGCATCCGTCCTACATATCCTTTGAGCATTTATATTTGTCAATTGTAATCATAGAATGAATTTCAATATTCAACCCTCTTGGCATTTGTGGCCTGACTCTTGATTAAGGGAGCCACGATCATCCAAAAGCCCTGTAAGTCTGAGTTATCCTCTGGAATACTTGAACACCAACATGAAAAAATTGTTTGGACATCATGAACTGTGTTTCAATCCAATCAGTATGTTTTCATCAAATAAATTGGACTACAACATGTTTGCGTTGCATCTGAGGAGAAAATATGTGATGATGTGATTGAAAAAAATTCTTGAGGTACAGTACCCTCCGTACCGTTACCAAAGGCAGTTCATTATAGAACACCACACATTCTACCCCAAATTGAGAGTGTGTGATAAAAGTGAGACCAGTGAGCTCTGCTCTTTGCCATTCCTAAAACACAAACTATCTATTTTTTATTTGATACATCGATCCTATATTTTACTCTTGGTCTACTGATTTTAAGATAGTTGATTCTGACGTTTCATTTATTAAATATAATGCTTGTTTTCTCCATAAAATGGATATGTATATCTCAGTAATATTTTTGTCAAAAAATACTATTTTAGATTAAATAAAGTATGATCATACACATGCACTTAATACTGATGTATTAAAAATTAATTATTTTTTAATATTGTTCAATATATTGTACATTTGAATCATATTTAAAGTGCTTTTTATTGTTTTACCCAAGATTTTTCTATTGTATGGTTGACACGGCAATACTGTCACGTACCAAACAAAGGGTGCCTTCTGGGCAAGTATGGTGTATGTAGTTCCAATTTCCTTGACATTTTTCCATTTCTTTTCTCTCTCCTGATTACAGAGCCCATATATGTGAAGTATTTTACACTCACTCATGGCACATACAAATGAGAGTATGCATATTTGTCTTCTTACCGGATGTACAGAAGGGGTTTTAGTGCAATCACTGAATTGTATAATATATGCTCGTAATATTATCATAGAAATGTAATGAACTCTAAATTATTTGACCAATTAAAATATTTGCTTGAATAAAATGTTTGCACATGTTTTGGAGACCTCCCAGTGGAATTGTAGTAGATCGTCTACACATTTTCGTCACAACAAAATAATGTCACAGCTGTATTCTGACAATCCAAAAGCTTACGTATATTAGGTTGACAATTGTACCTTGTTGATAAAATGTAAAAGTGTTATTGGAGAGGTTGACCCAAGTTGATGCTCAGGGACAACATAACCTATAGATGCACGAGGGAACAGCGAAGGGACATCACTGTGCTTTAGAGTCTGTGGGATTGTGGGAAATCTGTATATATTTTTATCATACTTCATTATATAGTTGTTTATGAAAAAATATGAATGATTTATCACAAATTTGCATTCGCTGTCAGTTCTCAGAACCAAGATTTGTTTTATTTCTTATTTGGTCTTTTTATTTTTTTTCAACCCTAACCCTTTCACATGATATTTTCCCACCAAACTGACACAACACAACACCCTATTTTTCCATGAGGAAAAAGTACATGTAGATATATGCCGTGTGTGTGTGTGCGCTTGTGTGCGTGTGTGTTAGTTCAACAATTTACTCATCAGTATGTACAACGTGAGTTTTTTTTTTTTTTTTTCAAATGAAAATAATCAGATTTCCTTCCTTCCTCATTTGAACTGGGGCTTCTAATCTTCACGTGCACAATTCGTTTCTGCAATAATGGTTGATGAAGTGCTTTTCACTACTTAAAGGGAAGTCCCTTTGACGGATTTGAATTTTGTTAATGTTACTTAAATGCATGTGGTTCTTCCACTCTGTGGAAATGAGAGTGCAAAGTTGAGACAAGAGCGATAGAGATGATTTAGAGTGCGTATCTTATGAAATCTAAGTAGTGAGTATTTGGATGCAAATACAAACCCTGTATTGTTCAATGTGTATAGGATCATGTCTGGCATGCATTGTTAAATAAACAATTCCATAGATTGGTAAAACTGTCTCATGCCTGCTTTACTTACTCTTTTAATATGGTGCATTCAGATCTGATAAGCAGCAGGTTCAGAGCATTTATAAAACATAAACTCGAACAGCACTTGAAGATCACAGACTTCTGCCATCAGGCACAGTCCCCACTCCATCAAAACTTACTTTATCCACAAAAAAACATGTATCTCGTTTGTGTAGGTGTCCAAATAGTTTAGTTCTAACCTGACTCCGCCAATTCCCAAAAGGTATAAATGTATACACAATAATATGTTTGATATGATGGGCCTATGATTGCATGATCATTTTTGTTTGTATTCCTTTGAAATGGAGAAAGTATCTATTATGAACAATAATATCATTAATAATATTTGAATAATAATAATAATAATAACTAGAAACTTGCAATGGCTGAAGCCATTGCGATTGACTGCGGAACAGATCTAATGTGGAAATCTGCTAAAAAAAATCCTTGAAATCCTTTAAAAGGCCTTGAAACTGTTAAAATACTTGATAGATATTTGAAACTCCTGAAGTCCTTGAAATTGTTGAAACCTTTAAACTCCTGAAATCCTTGAAACTGTTGAAACATTGAAACTCCTGAAATCCTTGAAACTTTTTTAAACCTGGAAACTGTTGAAAGTGTGGAAACTCCTGAAATCCTTGAACCTCCTGATATCCTTGAAACTGGTTAAATTCTTAAACAGTTGAAATCCTTGAAACTACTGAATGTATTGAAAGTGTCCTTGAAACTGAAAAATCCCCTCACCGCTGAAACAATTTGGTTCCTGTAACTAAGGAAACCTGGTCTGTGGTCATTATCTGGTGGTGGTCTGAGTCTTCGTTTGGGTCTTGGTCTGGTGGTATAATGCAACCTATTAGGTTGCATTATACTGGTTTACATGGAAAAATCCCTATTAGGTTGCATTATACTGGTTTACATGGAAAAATCCCTATTAGGTTGCATTATACTGGTTTACATGGAAAAATCCCTATTAAGTTGCATTATACTGGTTTACATGGAAAAATCTCTATTAAGTTGCATTATACTGGTTTACATGGAAAAATCCCTATTAGGTTGCATTATACTGGTTTACATGTACAAATCCCTATTAAGTTGCATTATACTGGTTTACATGTAAAAACCCCTATTAAGTTCCATTATACTGGTTTACATGTAAAAACCCTATTAAGTTGCATTATACTGGTTTACATGAAAAAAACCCTATTAAGTTGCATTATACTGGTTTACATGGAAAAATCCCTATTAAGTTGCATAATACTGGTTTACATGGAAAAATCCCCATTAAGTTGCATTATACTGGTTTACATGAAAAAAACCCCATTAAGTTGCATTATACTGGTTTACATGGAAAAATCCCTATTAAGTTGCATTATACTGGTTTACATGGAAAAATCCCTATTAAGTTGCATAATACTGGTTTACATGGAAAAATCCCCATTAAGTTGCATTATACTGGTTTACATGTAAAAAACCCTATTAAGTTGCATTATACTGGTTTACATGGAAAAATCCCTATTAAGTTGCATTATACTGGTTTACATGAAAAAAACCCTATTAAGTTGCATTATACTGGTTTACATGGAAAAATCCCTATTAAGTTGCATTGTACTGGTTTACATGGAAAAATCCCTATTAAGTTGCATTATACTGGTTTACATGAAAAAAACCCTATTAAGTTGCATTATACTGGTTTACATGTAAAAACCCCTATTAAGTTGCATTATACTGGTTTACATGGAAAAATCCCTATTAAGTTGCATTATACTGGTTTACATGGAAAAATCCCTATTAAGTTGCATTATACTGGTTTACATGGAAAAATCCCTATTAAGTTGCATTATACTGGTTTACATGGAAAAATCCCTATTAAGTTGCATTATACTGGTTTACATGGAAAAATCCCTATTAAGTTGCATTATACTGGTTTACATGGAAAAATCCCTATTAGGTTGCATTATACTGGTTTACATGTACAAATCCCTATTAAGTTGCTTTATACTGGTTTACATGTAAAAACCCCTATTAGGTTACATTATAGTGGTTTACATGTAAAAATCCTTATTAAGTTGCATTATACTGGTTTACATGTAAAAACCCCTATTAAGTTCCATTATACTGGTTTACATGTAAAAACCCCTATTAAGTTCCATTATACTGGTTTAC